ACTCCTGAGAAGGTGACTCCAGAACAAGCGATCGGATGTCGACGGCCTTCCTCCAGGATGTTCGAAGCCAAATCAAAGGAAGCAAAATTTGAGCTTTTCACTCTATGTGTATAGAGAGAGAGAGGGAGATCAGAAGCAAGGCCACCACAGGGAAAGCAAAGCACAAGGAACCTGAAATTTGATTCCTCGTGTTGGCTCGCCGCTGACTGTTTGTATTTCCCATCGTGCTCCTCTAAGTGAGTGAGGACAGACAATGCCTGTAGCCACTGACCTCCCTTCTCACAGGCAGTGATCACAGCGTTGCAGCAGATCACATCGCATTGCAATGCATGTTCCTCAGGGCTCAAACAGCTTCATACTTAATGGCTCCTTGGTTTTTTGTTTCAGCTGGTAGACTATGAGAGGTTATGCGAACTGGCAAAATCCACACCGCCGCACCCTAGAGTTTCCCGTTGAGCTCTTCCGAAAATGGTTTGATGCTGATCCTTTCAAGCTGATAATATTCTGCTTCTCAATACAACAGTATTCAGCCCAGGCTTGCAATGCAGCGTATCCAAGACATGTCATCAAACAAATGCCCACACCCTTGTTGCATGACACCAGCAGACCACCAGACCCTGCACGGGTGCCACACCGCCAGGGGCACGCCTGCAGTTCTTCGGACAGTTTCAAGGCCCAAAGCCATTGGAAACCGTTTGCCAATGCAGAGCAGCTAGAGCTGTAACTCATCACATCCTCAGCCGGTGCAAATTTGCGGCATAGTCCAATTTTTCGGTGCGACCTGAATGTGCACAGTTGAAAGTTCACCGAACAGTACTTCCTTTTGTAGTGGCACCATTAGCATCTTGTGACACGGGTGCTCTTCCTTGCTTAGCTATCCTCTACAGAAGAAACAAATCGATACAGTAGGTCACATTCCACATGCAACGTCAACCTCATGTTATATAAGTGGGTGCAGCATCCGGATACCACGCGGAACAAAAAATGACACTCATTTGACACGAATGAGACATCCATATCCTTCCAACCCAGCAACGATACCCAAGAACAGCCTGTACTCTGGTGGAAGCATTCAACAATGAAACACCACGGGTGTGAGACCCCTTCTGCCGATGCTGTTTGTCAGCTCTTTGGCTCAAGCCAGGTGGGAAGCTTCTTGTTCCTAGTAGCGTCCTTGTTCCTAGTTGCGATGCCAGGAGCCCCTAGTAGCTTCTTGTTCCTAGTAGCGATGCCCTTTGTTTCTAGACTTTGAGACGTTTCAGCAGCAGAACAACTCAGCTCCGCAGTACCAAGCCACCACCGTGTACCGCTCACGAAGCATCCTCAAGGCAGCCTGCCACTGCACTGCCTTCCTCGGAGCCGAGGCTCGAAAGTCTCTAAAGCTAATGGAGCACCCATCAACAACAAGTGCGTTGTGAGTTGGGGGAAATCTTGTGTGCATGTCCAACTGGTCTTCACAACATTGGTTGTTGTTTTTGGTTGATCTTGGAGTTCTCTAATACATGATGATCATCGCTAATCCAAGCTTCACACGTGTGTTGCAATGGGTCCAAGATTCTCCAAGACGCTGGTCGCCGAATTCTCCGTGAAAAGACCGCTCTCCAAGGCCTCAACCCGACGGGCTCCACAAACTGGCTGCTGTGTCTGTAACATTCTGTGAGCCCCTAGTAGCTTCTTGCTCCTAGTAGTAAGGCCAGGAGCCCCTAGTAGCGTCCTTGCTCCTAGTAGCGATGCCCTTTGCTCCTAGTAGCGTCCTTGCTCCTAGCAGTACGGCCAGGAGCCCCTAGTATCGTCCTTGTTCCCCCAAGCAAACACTTCGCCGCTTCGCACAGGGTTCGGAAGATGAATTCACCATTTCCAGGTGGGTAATTCTAGTGTGGGGCACTGTACGGGCGGCTGGTGTCCTGTCAAACCCTTCTATCTAAGCCAAATGAATTTGTACTAGAAAAGGACAAACTGCTAAAGGTCTGTTCTACAAAAATGACGAACAAACAGTCCTTTTTGTGAAGGTCCGCATCCGCCTGTGAAAAGGTCCACCGAATCGCCGAGAAAAGACCTGCCTGGGCTCGAAGCTCCTCCAAAAAAAGCAGCTGAAGAAGACCAGCATCCGTACTCCTCCAACATGGAACCACAAAATGCAAAGAACTGTGGTAGAGTTTGTGTCACAAATGGCGGCCCCCCTTTCCTTTGATGAATGTGTCACGTGTCAAGTTATGCTTCAAACTATGTGAAGGCTTGTGTCCCTTCCAGTCCATTTCAACCAAAATAGATAATATTATATAAACTAAACGAACGAGATTAGGCGTCTTTTCAGGCACATGTTTGAGGCAGTGTGCAAGCAGAAATCCTCGCACCCATTGATGGCTGCATTGTAGGTGATAATGTCGGATTGCATGGCTCGACTCTGCATCCAATCCCTCACTTGTGGAAAGGGTCAAAGCAGCTTCATAGTGTATGCAGAGCGTTTCCATCTTCGTTGTATACATGAACAAACCCCATTAGCTTGCACAAACCCCATTAGCTCCGATCAAGCGGCAAAAGTGATGCTGTAGCTGCCCAAGCTCCCTGCCGTGCAAATGCTGTGATGGCCTCGCGAGACATCCCCATGATTCCCTTCACAGCTTCATAGTCTTCATAGTGCAGGGATATTGCTGGTTTCGACCATTTATGAATATGTGCATTCTCTCCAATCACAACATGTATATGTGCATTATCTGGGACTGAGTGCACTCTATTCCACCCGGCTTCCAACACAGAGGCTTGCAGCTGGAGCACGCTATTGAAGGTGAAGACATTGGACTCTACCTTAAAAGCAAAAAGAAGCTGAGACTCAGTTGTCAGTATGCCTATGCGTCTTGATTCATTGAACCTCGGCAACAATGTTGCTTGGACCTTCATGCAGGGGAAAACGTTCCAGTAATTTGGAGCTGTTTTAAAAAAAATACCATATGTGTACATATAGGTATGTAATTACAATATGTTGCAATTATATACACAGTTATTTCCTGAGGGTCAGCTATGCTTAGCACGCTGGGTTGGTAAATTTGAACCGAGCCTTAGTGCTTCGGTGGGCAAAACTCTTTTAGGATCCAATATTAACAAAAGAGATGAGTCGATCCAATTTGTTTCTTCTCCCAAACACAAATCTACAGCTCCTTGGAGTTTCGTCTGTCTCGATTCAAAGAAGCACGAGTGACTGCTCCACCGTGCTCCACCCACGAAGAAAGCGCTTGGCCGGGTGGCGCTGAGTTGAGCCATTGCACCCAAAGCACAGGAGGCCGATGGCCACGAAAAAGCCTTGGCACCTGGGCTCTTCGCTGCGATATCCACTGGTGGCTCAAGGCCGATGCACTGGACGAGTGATGAACAACTAGAAGATATGTGATAAGTGGCTAGGAATCAACATGAATGTAAGCATAGTCATTCCTCTGGCCACAAAATTCATCCCCGCGTGGCTATGCAACGGCCGAATCAGCAAGGCAAGCGCTTTGCAGCGAGCAGGAGCTCTCAACATGGCTCAACCAGACAACATTGCCTTTAGAAGCTACTAGTAACAGGTGCATCGCTAGTAGTAACAAGTGCCTTACTAGTAGTAACAAGAAGCTATTATAATCAACTTAAAATACTCTTTTGGCTGCGGGTGCAAAACCCTGTACACTTGGGACTATGCTTCTGCGGGGCAGTTGCACAACCCGCAACCCTCCGGCAGGGCTGTGTCCCTCGACATCCAATGCCGCAGAGGAGTCGAGGTGCGAGACACCATGACTCCCCTCCCATGTCCAAGAGGCAAGCACTGACGACTGAACTGTAGGAGACCACATTGCTTTCCAGCTGCTCCTGGACCGGAGGCCAACACTCCCTCTTTCTCAACATTCAGAGTACCACAAAGTAACCATTCATTCTTCCTGCAAAGAAAGATTTCAATTGACTGCCATTTTGTGCAGACTGCTTTTTATCTAGCAGCTCAGATTCAGACACAGACCTCCATTTGTGCCAGCAGTAGTGTCGCCAGCTTCCAGCGCTTGGCTTTCTCAGAGGCTGCAATAAGCGCATTGGAGGTAATGACCTAGGTTACTTCTCAGGTCCCCATCCAAAGCACCGAACCCGTCCGCTTTAGCAAAATGCATGCCTCGAACGCTGAAATCCACGTACCAAGCCGCATTGCTCTGTCCAGCTGCCGCGCAGAACTCCTCGAGGCAGTCCAATGCTAGGCGCCAACGAGGCCCCAAACGGCCCAAGGAGATGGTGAAGGATCCTTGAGTCGCACTCTCCGTGTCCCTGGGGGGGGGGTAGGCCGTAGAGGTAACTAGGTAGCTAGTAGCTTAAGTAGCGACTACCTAGGATAACTCACGCACTCATGATTTGGTTCCTAGATGTTTTGGGAAACTGAGTGCTGGGGCACGCAGTACCGCATTGCATTCAACGCGGAAACCAAGTGTTCAGACAGTTGAATCGATTCCATGTTTTTCCGTTTGAAAACCGCGCTCCCTTGGCATCTCCGACTGGCTATGAGGTTCTTGTGTGGCAAAAGGAGGTTAGTTGCAGAACCTGATACGCTTTACTGTACAAGCAGCTCGCGAATAGGGAACCACATCGAGAGATCCATCAAATCCAGGCATGCAAAGATCTGTAAACTGATGGACTCACAAGCCGTATTGAATCCTCTAAATCCCTATACTCTCAGTATGGTATCTGATATTCCCCAAAAAAATTGCTTTTGGAGTCTGGACTGTAGATTTCCTGCACATCAGCTATGACCAAGTGCAGCTGGAGCAGCTTGGATCTGCTGAATCCGCTGTCATAGCGGCCAGAAGAAGCACCAAACAGCCAGAGAGAGACCGTTCATGCTGCTCATTCTCATGTGATGGTCGCCCCTGTCTGTTTGCACCTCAAATGAACACCTGTCTAGTGCGTCTCCGTTGCCTACGTTTGCGATCCGGCTTTGGAAAGATGCTCCACCAAGTGGCGGGATTTCCTTTAGAGATAGAGTACAAGGAGTGCAAGTCCTCTGAGCCCAAAAGCTCGGTGGAAGCCTGGACAAATGGGACAAACCCGTCAGTGTGCTCAAGCAATCATTGGGGGTCTGATGACAGGATGGGTTACTATACCCAACAGCCCCTCAAACCATACATCATCCTTCTCCAAGCTCGTTTTTGGCACGTTCTGCGAGTCTTTTGCCTGGCTAAATTAGCAAGGCTGAGTGAGCATCAGGGGCAACTGGCTTGCGTAGCAGTCTTTGTTGGACTTGCAGCTTTACCACAAAGATTCTCTTTGGGAAGCTGGGATCGACAGCTTTCTGGTCATCAAACTCATTGGAAGATGGGATGACGGTCCTCCGAGGCATCATACTCAAGGAACCTGAACCACGAGAGGGCTGCAACAGGGTCAGTGGACATGCTTTCCATTGGAATGAACAACACTGTCACACTCCAAAGCCAACAATTCAACATCCGAGCACAGCTAAAGAGAAGTCGGCTTGTGTCGGACCTGACAAAGAATCTCTCTTTGTGGAAGGTTCTGGATATCAACCGAAGATCCTCATGAACATTCGGATTCGGTCATCAACGAGGCCTCCTCTTAAAGTCGCCAGAGGGAGTCATGCACTGCTCCTGGCTGCAATGTCTGTCATGCACGTGTCCCCATGATGTGTCTCTCTCTGGCTTGCTTCTGTTCGGGATCTATGTACAAATATCCTGTTGATCTGTTACATCGTCTGGTAGAAGCAAACAGAACCGCGGCAACAGCCGCCCCTGAGAGAAGCGTAAAGGACAAGAATGGCCGAATAGCCAGGAAGAAGCGCAACAACACACACAACAATTCTTGTTTACCCTATTGCCATTTGTCAAAGCAAATTCAAGTACTTCCGTCGTGGGACATCCAGTTTGACAGAAGCATTTAACGTTGTGCAGATGCTGCTTCAGGTCGCGTTCCAAAAGCTCCTTTTTACCAAAGATGGTATAGCGGTGCTGCCCCACGAGTTGATACCTCAGATTCTGGACGAATCGGGGTGGATCGGACCGGTCTTCGGTTTAAGCCGCAGAGTGATATATAGGAAATGTTCCAGCAAGAAGGGCACCATGGTTGACCATGTGAATCACATCTGGGACCAAGGACACCCCAAGTGACTGAAGCTGTAGTCTCTGTAGACTGTAGGTGCAGGAGAAATGTAGGCTTTGATGACTACCTGCCACGTGTTCTTCAGCAGTCCAAGGCACACGAAATCCCGAAGGGGGAGAGGTACCAAGTAGAAGACCGCAAGCATCCTGACCGTGTGGGAGTCTTCGGGTGGGCGACCCATTAAAGCGTTCCCCAACCTCCAAAGGAGCCTCTGAAGAGGGTGTCTGGCACCAAACAAGTGGTCGAACGAATGAGGATGAGTCTGGATGGCCCACTACTGAATGGCAAGCCTGTCGAATTCTACACTTGAGGCAAACGCAGATGAATTTGCTACACACACACACAACACAAAACACGCACAGATGGATGCAATCCATGCAATCCATGAAATATGATGCCAGAACAACGGACAGAGTATTTGTCTTCCTGATTAAGACAGCCCAAGCTCCGCAAGCAGCTTGTTTGGTTTCCCACCTCCAAGGCTGATCCATAACCGCTAAGATTCTGAGTGCTGCAGAGGAGCGGATAAAGACCTGGCGCTGCAGGTGTGGTTGCAAGCTTGAAAGGTAAAACGCCACTCTGCCTATGTGCAGCACGTTCCATGTGCACGAGTTCTAAGCATGTGTCTGTTTAACCCTTTTCACATCTTTCCTCGCCTGACCGTCTTGAATCACGACCACAGTGGACCTTAAGTGACAAGCCGGACGTTGGCTCCAAGAGATCGACAGGCTAGTAGCGTCCTTGCTCCGTTCGTAGCGATGCCAGGAGCCCCGAGTAGCTTCCTTTTGGCATTCCTTTTTGCTCACCCAAACCACCAAGGCTTCGGGGCGACTTCGATTCCGAAGAATGAGCTCCCAACATACTTTCCTCGCCTCCTTCCGCATAGCGCCCAGCACCATGCCTGGCGATGAGCCACAAAAGTATCCAATCACAGCATCAAAACCTATTGACCCAACCATCTCTACAAAACCTCTCTCGCAAATGCCATCACCTAGTCTTTGGCCCTGAAACATGGCCAAGAATGCGTCGTCCAAGATTGCCAGCCTTTCAAGCAGCTCTCGATGCTTTTGTAAGGCACCAAAGCGGACCCCTCAAAAAAGCATGTGAGGATCTGAGCAGAGTTTTCTCGGGTTTGGAGTTGATAGTCTTCCAAGACTGTTTTGACATAGTGGCTTCCACCTTGTAAACATCATGAAGCATCCAATTATAGAATGATGAAATCAAAGCACAACCGAAAAAGTGTGGCCATAGCTTTTGAGTTTTCATCTCCTGGTGGTGTCAGAGGTGGTGTTGGTAATGAAAATCATTGAACATCTACAAATGTTTGGGATTGGAGTGGGGAAGGTGTGATCTTCAAGCTTTAGTGGATCCAAAGCGCCCAAGACGATTCGCTGAGCTTCCAACGACCTTGGGAATCACCAGCATAGACGAAGTTCACAAAGCCGTCACAAAGGTTGCAGACCTGGGCACTGAGCATGGAGTTGTAGGTGGTGGGTCTCCTCCTGGTCAGGTCGACTTCTGGTGCCCAGAGGTGCACATTAAAAGCGATGGCCTCCAATCTAATAGCGATGGCCTCCAACCTACAAGTAAGGGATTGGATCTGGAAACTGAACCATCCCTTCTTCCTTGCAAGCTGGTCAAGTAAGTCCCTGCTTCTTCCTCAGGCATTCTACCCCGCAGCCCTGGGTCGTTAGAGAAAGGGATAAATCTTGCTGAACCCTTGCCAGGCCGGCTCTTTCACTGCATGAGTTGCTGAGGAGACAGTTTCCTGTCGGTTGCTGGGTAGCTGACTCCGTCGAAGAACAGCCATGTCTCGACCTTGGATCTTGAGTACCACCAGAGCCTATGCAGGAAATGCCGCGGTTGTGATGCACTCCTAGTGCTCTCAACCTCTGGCATACCAATGGAACATGAGGAACATGATACAGGGAGTTGCCCTTTCGCAGTGAATGTACGCTTGAACCTAGTAGCTTCTTGCTCCTAGTAGCGTCCTTGTTCCTAGTAGTAAGGCCAGGAGCCCCTAGTAGCTTCTTGTTCCTAGGAGCGATGCCCTTTGCTCCTAGTAGCTTCTTGCTCCTAGTAGCGTCCTTGTTCCTAGTAGAAAGGCCAGGAGCCCCTAGTAGCTTCTTGTTCCTAGGAGCGATGCCCTTTGCTCCTAGTAGCTTCTTGCTCCTAGTAGCATCCTTGTTCCTAGTAGTAAGGCCAGGAGCCCCTAGTAGCTTCTTGTTCCTAGGAGCGATGCCCTTTGCTCTTGGTAGCTTCTTTTGTAGTAAGGCCAGATCTCCAAGCTTCACACCCCCGGAGCTGGCTGCAGTTGCTTGGGCCTCGAAACGGGTCGTACCGCCGCCCGCGGCCGGGACCGCGAGGTTGCCAGACACACCGCAGGTGACGCGCGGCCGAAGCGTACAGGAGCATACGCGCGGCCCGAAGTGACTTCCCAACCTGTGACCTGTGCATACAGCTAGATATGGTACAAGCAATTCCTGGTGGATTCTCACAAGCTGCCTCGATCATGGCACGTCATAAATTCCATAAATCACTTCAAAGTGAGAGGGATACTCATAGAGTTGAAATGACTCCAGTGGATCTATTCTTTGATTTGAAGGTAGGAGTGCCTGCGATCCAAGCTACAGGTAGACTGCGGTAATAGCCGCAAGTGGAACCTTGGGCATGAGATGATGTGTACATGCAGACAAAAATGCAAAGGTAGCCTGCTCAAGAGCAGGGCACCGTCTATCTTTGGTGGCATCCAACCTCCCTTGTAGTGGTCAACTACTATCTATGGTCAGTCTATGATCTACTGTTCACTGGAGGCCACCCTGAGCTTCATCCTTCATCTGCTGCCAGGGGGTCGAACTGGGAGGTCTCACGAAACGCAAACGCAAGAAACAACACCTCCCTGTACAACACCACCTGTGGCTGGGAAGAGCTGAGCTTCTGGCTGCCAAAGATAAAGCACGCATGGCAAGTGAACCAAATGGTTTCTTCTAGTCAAAAAACCCTGAAACGTAATTGTTCTGCCTAGAATGCACCATCTAAGGGTTTGGGAGCTCACTCTTTCTGTCTTATCTTGTCGTATTGCTTTTGCCAGTTCTGTTCTGTCAAACAAATTGTTCTGCCCTTTAGACTATTGGGTTTTGCGGTCATGTACCATTGCTGATGAACAGCTAGCGATCTCCGGTCGTGCAATCATGTCCAAGACAGCTCACTATGAACCTGATGCAGAAAAGGAAGTCCGCAAGCCTCATGTCTTGATGCCTTCACATCCCAAAAAAGCTGATAAACCTGTGAAATGCTAAGGCTTTTAGACCCTAAGCGTTTGCATGATGTTGAATCTATATATATATATATGTATATATTTGTTCACATCACAGCAGCCCACACAAGCAGCTAAATGCAAAGGTATCCGGCGACGCCATCCACTTCTTGGGCGGGTTCCATGGACGGTGCACGTAATGGGACCGAGGGACCATCTTTGCAGACCCCTCTTCTCTCTATCAGAAAGAATCTGGGGGGCGTCCAGCTGTGTTGAGTCAATTGCAGGCTAGAAACCAAAAGTCCAGAAGCCCATATGAAACAGGATCGCCTGTGAATATGCACCAAAACCATCCTCTTTCTGGTCTAGCATGAGTCTCTCCATGGTGCGGATCAGCTTCATCGACATTTAGCGATGGAAGCTCAGAGGATGTGCGCGAGCCTGGTCATTGAGGGCGCCCTGTCCCGACCTCTCTCATCATAAAATCCTCTGTTCTCTCCCCACAAAGCCAAGGCACCCCAAAGATGGATTGTTGGTATAGATGCACCAAAAGAAGTGGGGCAAGGGAAGATCCTTCGTCTGCTCATCACCCGTCCCTAAACCTGTCCAACAGGTTCCATGTGCCACAGAAACTTGAGAAAGGACCCATGGATCAGCACCGAAAAAGCTGAAATTCTCAGAACAGACATCTCCAGAAGTGGCCACTTTCAGGGCCAATGGCACAGCCTCACCACCGACCATGACACCCAGTCCGGAAGGGGAGGAAGAGGCAGCACCACACACACACATGACCCCGAGATTGCAGTCGATGAGGGCATCTCAGGCGAAGACGAAGGCCTTGCCCAGGTAGACTACTTCTGAACGCCACCGGCACTGAAGTAAGAGGCCATCCCACAGACCGCCAAAATGGCACCGAGAGCTCAACCCTCCAGAAGAAAAAAATCCATCCATACATTACATTACATTACGATACGATACGATACGATACGATACATTACATTACATTACATTACATTACCATACGATACGATACAATACAATACCTTACAATACAATACAATACATGCATGCATACCACACATGCCATACATGCCATACATACCATACATACCATACCATACCATACCATACCATACCGTACCGTACCATACCATACCATACCATACCAACATACATACATACATACATGCATGCATGCATGCATGCATGCATACATTCATTCATACATTCATACATTCATTCATACATTCATACATTCATACATTCATACATTCATACATACCTTACATTACATTACATTGCATTGCATTGCATTGCATTACATTGCATTGCATTGCATTGCATTGCATTCATACATACATACATGCATACATCCATTTATACATTCATACATTCATACACACATACCTTACATTACATTACATTACATTACATTACATTACATTAATACATACATGCATGCATGCATACATACATACATACTTACGTACGTACGTACATACTTACATACAGACATACAGAACATACATACAGACAGACACACTCACATACATACACACACAGTTTATGTAATCTGCATGTGGTGCGATGAAGCAGCAAGACATTGGAAATGAAACCAACACCCCCTAGACCCTGTCAGTCCGCGGAAGTGGGAGGATGAAGTGAGATGAACCAGTGCACCTGCTGACCCACGCTGATGCACCTACAAATGAATGCTGGTCCTCAGCAGCCTGTTTGCAGCATGGCCTTTACACCCGCATCGACCATCCAGAAAATGACAGGACACCCAGCCCCACAACAATCAAACAACACAAAATACCTTAGGTTGGAGGCCATTGCTTGTAGGTTGGAGGCCAGAGGCCCCGCAATGGAAGAACTACATGATGTGTCCAGCCTTACCAGCACATGGCCGGTGAGCCACCACAGGAATTGGACCTTAGCGACTTTCGGTTCTCTCCTTTAGGTCAGCGCACCAGGCCGTTGAGGGGTTGGCTGAGTAGTGCAATTAAGAATGGAGTTTTACACCAGCTACAGCTGTCTGATGTCTGGGGCAGAATCCGCATTTGTGGATTCGCTGTGATGTTCGGGGGGAGAGATTGATCTGACTCGGGGGTACACCGTACAGTTGTGCTTCGTGGTGTATAAATCGTTCGCAAATGATAAATCATCTCGTTACGGCAGTGTGGGCACTTCCTGCCAGTGAATACTGTTGTCGACACCGTGCTTTAGAAGTGTGCCGTCAATCAAAGCTGAGCCCTTCTGAGATCTCGTCTCAGGAAACCCAACTCCTTTGCCAACAAGGTGCTGGCAAATCATCCCTCGCTCTTCGGTGGACATGTCGGCATCGCACTTGGGAGGCCAAATGGCTGTGTTCCAAAAGCACTTGTAGCCTGAGTCGCTGATGTGCGAGGGCTGTGTCACCCACAACTCTTGAGTAGCATCAGTTGTCAAATGATTCAATCCGACTCCCTCTGATTCTTGTCGGATGTGGTTCTAAGCCTTGCCTACCGGCAATTTATCTAAAATTCCTCCATCTTGGCCTCAAGAAACGTTTTCAAGGCAGTTCCTGTCCGTTCAATGTGCAATCCTCTGCTGAGCCTACTACCAATGCCTGACTGAATGGCAAAGCTGCCATCACAGGTGCTACTGCCTCAGAAGAGGGTTCAGTGAACATATCTCTGGCGGAAAGAGAGCGTGGAACTCTGTCAGCGCAAACATGAACCTACCCCAGTTTGGCCATTGGCCGTTGCACTTTGGATGAAGCTGCCTAAACGTTCGATCCTGACAAGCCCAATCTCGCCTTGAGAGCTGCAATAGGGAACCTGGTCGTGCAGTTGCGGTGACTGAAGCTTTGCAAAATACCTGGGTGGATGAGTCTATTGCGGGTCTGTGTATGTATTCCACTAGGGCCTAGCACGTTTTCAGATGTGATTAGAGATGGGATGTGCTGATGTGGGATTGAGCTCGGCCTAGCTGAGGCACCAAGAGATGAGACCGAGACCGAAGAGATGTTTAAAATGCCCCTGCCAGTCCACCATGCCTGTGATAACTTGGAGCAGTCCACGGCCCCTTGCTTGCTGCTCCACCGGCCCACCCTGAGTCAGCCGGAACGAAACGAACGGGGTGCCCTGCCCCCAGTGGGCCCACAGAGCAATGCCTTGACTACTTGGGCTCCCAGCATGTTCCTTGCTGCACCCGCAGCTATCACTGTCAAAGTGATGCCTGGAGTTGGGAGAGTGCGATAGACGTCACAAAATGCCCTTACAGTGACCACTGCTCCTGCTTCAGGTGGGTCCTCTAATGGGAGCTAGGGACCTTCTGGCGGCAACCTGTTCAGGACTGGTGAGCATGTGAGCTCTCATCCGAAAGCAGGGATCTCTTTTTCTGCAAAAAGTCCTACCCCATGTGCGTTGAGCGTTCGTCCACCCAAAAGGCTGGGGCTCTTCTTTGACCGCATAGGTTCCGCCATGATCACACCAAATCATTCTGAAACCGCCAAACCGCCAAACTGCTGCCCTTCTTGCAGCTATCTCGCCTTCCTGCTGGACAGAATCGGAAGCTCCTTTGGCCTTGCAATGATGAGCTCAGAAACACGATCCATTTGTGAATCCTATCAATCTGCTCACCCTAGGAGGTTGGTGTAAGGCCTGGTTAAGTGGTTCGATGATTCCCACATCTATCATTGTCCATCTATCATATCCCCAAGTTGCGAAGGAGCCCCACAGGGTACATGATACTATTGACACCATTCACCACTCCTTGAATTTGTCGTCATACTCTAACACTCGATCAAATGCCGCGATCAAAACCCCGAGACAGAACAGCAAAAACAAACCACTCTTCCTCCGCTCGAATGGATCTTCAACCTCTAAACACCAAGAGGCTGTCACACAAAGGACATAAGTGCCAGCGCCGCTCACGATGAAGGAGGCATGCCCAGCACCTATATCCTTATCCGGTGGTGTTTCCGCCTCACCTCGGAAGGTCCACTGGAGCAAGTTGATCGAGTTTCGGTGAAACAGTTTGTGCTGTTGCATCGTATTGGAAGGCACATGTTGTTGTTTCAATTTGGCTAGCCCAAACAAGAGGTGTCTAGAGTCTAGAGAGTCCCTGGAGAGGTGGTCAAGAAAAATGCAAAACATCAAGGTTGCTGTCTTCACAGTAAATCACACATCTGGGCTGTGCTGACAGCTGGCATGAGGAGGTCCCTGCAATGAATTTTGCCTTGTCTCCCTGCTTCGCGCCAGCAAGCTTCAGTGTGGTGGCCACCTCAAGCTGCCAAACCGGCAGTAGCGATGAAGGAATGTCTCAAGGCATCCTCCTCCCCAGCTTCTGTTTCCAAGTCCTGTCCCTTCTCCCAATCAGGAGGTTGGTGATATGGCTGCAGCCACTTGCGATGAAGTTTCTTGATGGACGTTCAGAGTGGCCTCAAAACTGATTCTCAAAGCATGAAAGGAACTGAAGATGATAGCCACGATCGCGATCTTTCTGATCATCCAGGGTGACTCTTGTTTTGGGCAACTAGGTCCGCGGTGCGTAGACAGCCGGGGGAGTTTGTCATCATGTTTAGACTTTGGAGACGTTGGGAATTTGTCTCATTGAAGCCGCAACCTGCCTGGGGAGGGTGTACAATGAGAGTTTCGCTACAATGAGAAGTACATGTTGTTGTCTTTTTTAGCAACCCCCCAAACTACTTTGGTTCTGAAGAACTAAACGGATATGATGGACACCGACGAAGGACAAGGAATTGAACCAAAACAAAAAAGCAAAACAAAAGAAAAAAAACGTAAGAAGTCAACTGAGGAATCGAATTTTCGCGAAGTGTCGTTTCATCCATAAGCCCATAGTGCCCCGTGCAACGCAAATTGCCTTCCTCCCACCCCCCACCGGAGAAAGTGTGTAACCATGAATGAGTGTGACGCCTGCCTGCACCGAAAATGCACAAGAAACACTTACAGTAAAGACCCATTGAACATGCATACATAGCAAAAATAGCACTACTAATGACCCTCCCCAGCGGCCCTGAAAGAAACGGCAAACTACTGCGCTAAAAAACAGACGAAACACAACGGCCGTCTATGCACCGGTGGTGCTACACGAAAGCAGGTTGTTGCTCAGTGCTCGAGCCCTTAGGCCCTTGGCCCAAGTCTTTTCAGTGGGGCCATTTACGACACACTTGGGAGACCTTTTCTGGTGGCATGTCTTTCTTTTCAGGATGCAGACCTTCGAACCCGGAGGTGAGTTTTCAGGTCCTGCAGATCCATCGGATCTTGGATGAGGAGATGTTGTTTTGCAAGGTGGCGGACGGGCGGCCGGTGGTCCTCATTGGCAAGCATCCCGGCGTTGAACGGCTTTCGGTGCATGACGCAGAGATCATGTCCAACCATGATCTTCTGACTTTGGAGGTTACAGAAAGGATGGCTTGATTTCTAGCAAGAGCCTGGAAGCTTTTGGCCAGAGTTCATCGATCTTTTAGCTGGATTTGGTGGTTTGGGCCTTGGTCTAAAGATGTCTAAAGTTCATGGAGTTTAGGCCTTGCCTAAAGTAGACGTTAATGAGTTGGCAGTCACCCACTTGAAACAGTGCAGCCCCAGTCATGCAGCTTGATCTCACAGATCCAATGGCTGTTCGCACTCTCCACGAACCAGTTCGGATAATCTGTCCAACTGCCACGATGGGCTTTCCACGTCAGCCCTGTTCGAGTGGTGGGGGCCAACAAGGAGAACTTGAGCACACTGGCCGCAGGACTCCGAATGATCCATCAACGTCAATGTATGCCAGGAGCCCCTAGTAGCGTCCTGGAATGTGCCCCTCAGGTTGAGCATAACAACTATGTACAAGCTCTTCTGACTGAGTTTGCCGAGTGCCAGGTACAAGGTTGGACAGTGTGGCCAATGAGACGCAAGCGATGGTGGGCGCTCCTTGTACCTCGCCAATGGGACATCAAGACTGTTACTTTCTGGTCCGAAGTCGCACCCGACCAACAAGTTCGAGATGTGATGACAGGATTCGAACGGATCTTGCATTGCTTGGACTTGTGGCCAGCCCAATGAAGGAGTCTTTGGATTGGAGCGCACCTCATTCAAGCAGTATCCTCAGCTGCTCGCCAATTTCCATTCATTGAGCCATTGCAAGCTTTGCGGGCCTTTGAGAGGCCTCCCTTGACCCTTGTTTCTGGTTCCATCTTTGAGATTCTTGATGAATTCGGTTTGAGCTGTTTTCCGGTTGTTGGTATTCAATAGACAAAGATTGGGATAAGGGACTGATCATCCGCCTCCCCAGCGAAAAATGTGGGGAAGGCGGTGCAGAGACTGCAAAGCCTCACGAAGAAGCTTTCGTCAGCTGAGAAAGGCAGAGGCGACCATTCTGTAGCCCGAATGTCGCACTCACCCGAAGAGTCCGAGATAAAGCTCAGTGATCGTGTGGGATTCCTGAGGTGCAGGAGTGCCAGGATTGTAAATCAGGGCACCCTGAAGCGACAAACCGCTGTGTCGAGGTTATTCCCCAAATGTCCGCATGGATCCTTGCAATCACCTTTGGGTTCAGTCTTTGACTACACGGGGTCACTGCGCGCTGCCTTTAGACACCTATATAACACTTATGGTTACGCAGAAATTCAGAAACATGGCCAATCTTCCTTCCTCACTAGGCGCCCGTGCATTGGAGGTCACGGTGGCTGGGCTAATCGAAGTGATGTGATTCTCATTGGTGGCCTCAACCTGCCAATCTACTCTCTGCAGGAAAAGACCTCTTGCGAATATGCTATCTCATCCCGAAAAGCAAATTGCTCGCACTAAGTGATTGTCCTCCTCATATCAAAACTCCTTCGTTGCCCACCTGAACCAATCTGACACTATTCCACATGGCTCTTAAGTGCTCTGGGATGGTTCCTTCCGGCCCTGGAATCCACATCCCCAGAATGAATGGATTTACTCACCTGGTCCCTCTCCAACCTTCTCTGAACTGGCCGACCCGACCCGACCTGTGTCCGTCCCACGATGTCCGTCCTGCTCCACCAGTAGGGCAATGGCCCCGGTTTCGGGGTTCTGCTCCACTGAGTCGCCACCACCGGGAGCTTGATAGCAAAGCTTATAATTCCCACCGGGACCTGGCGGTTTTGGGGGGCAGCTTCAGCTTCCGCGGAAGTCCGGCGGGTTGCACATGCACGAAGTCCGGTGGTTGCATGAGACAATCTGATCTCTTTGGCCTGAGAAGGTCTACCATGAGCTTGCTGGTCTTAATTGGCAGTTCACCAACTAATTCAAGCCTAGCTTACATGGTGTGTATGTGTATATAAAGATACATAAAGATACATATACCATATAGATAAATACTCATGCAGTAGAGGACTCTCTTCATTCATCTTCATTCTATGATACATCGGGAACCTAGCAAGACAAAAATAAACAAAGCCAGACCACCGCAGAACGTGTCTTCCCGCCTTCGATGGTGAAGACACCCTTTCCGGTCCGGTCTATGTCCACGTTCGGCACAGCGTCTCGACAATTCGCTCTCACTGGGACGAAGACTGCCTGTGTCAAAAAAGAGGTTCAAACATAGATGTCATGAGACGAGAAGGGATCGGTGGGACAACCCGTAGGACCAGTCAGCTCGTGCATGCACCATGCCATCAGAAGTTGTCCAAGATTCCTGTGGTTTCATTGTGTGCACAGACGAAACTGGTGATCTCGGAGTGTTAGTAGTAGCTTCTTGTTGCTAGTAGTAAGGCCAGGAGCGCCCCTAGTAGCGTCCTTGCTCCTAGTAGCAATGCCAGGAGCTACTAGTAGCTTCTGTACAGGACGTGAAAGGGATCTCAGAGACTCGGACATTGGGATCATGGGTGAGAAATCCTCGCCTCTCGATTTCATACGAAACCCTCGCCTTGGCTGCTTTCGCAGCCCCTGTGAGAGTAATTGGGGTGGCTGTACCTGCAACAAAGATCGGGCGTAACCAGACACACCAGTCATTTAGACTTCATGAAGGAATGGGATACCGGAAATGCTTCAAGATCAGGATCAAGGGCATCCTCTCCTGGCCTTGAGTGACAGTGCTTGGGATGAGCTTCGTGACTGCGCCTGTGTCAGTGGGTGAGACCTGAGTGCTGACAATATTCAAGCCTTCCGAAAGGATACAAAAGAAGTAAAACCAAAATCATGCACAATGTAGAACATGTATAGAGACTCAAGCTAGAGGCATGTTTACGCCCGGCACCCTTTTTCACTGGGGCATCGGACAACCGCTAAAGTGACGCTCGTCTGTTCCTCCACAACTGCGTGGCCTTCAGCCTGACCATCAATTGTGGACAAAGCAAAACAATGGCCAGAGTCTGAGAGAGTCTTAGAAGCGGGTAATTACCCAGTCCAAAAGGGTCGGTCTTGAGCATTGCCGCAGACTGGAACTACACACTCCTAACGACCATCATCTGGAGACCTTGTCCAACAATACCGCCATAGACACGAAAGCATGATGCACCGTGGAATCATCATATGGGAGAACATGTGATGGTGCGAGCGCCTGGTAGCAAAGCTTTAGCACTTCAGCTTCATCCTCTATGGTGATCCTGGGAGGGCCAATTCACTTTTTGGCGCCTCTCATGAAGCTTCAGACATCTATTCTGCTTCAAGGTCTCCAAAATCCAACGCAACACCAAACAGCTGTCAGGTGAGATCAATAAGCAAAGCTTTCCAAGCAAATGGAGCCTTTCGGATGTCGCTACAAATGCGAGAAGGGACCACGCGCTCTCCAGCAACACAGGCAATGCTGGGATCACAAAAGCCCTCTTGGCCACCGCGCGTTGCTTTGCCTCCCTCGATGGTTGAGGAAGGAGAGGTCACTTTCCCGCAGTGGAGTGCAAACTGCACCTAGGGTCCGTGGCGGTCATCTTCCAACACTGCCGAAAGGAGGGGACTGGAAGCATTACAGGCATTGTATATACAATACAGCTATATACAATACATAATTGAATAAAGTGTCAGAGTATTGATGTGCATTAATTATACAACAATTACAAGGAGATTGCGGTGGCGCTCTGTGTTTGATCGCTATCCGTGTCTGCAATTCTACGGTGCCAGTAGCTCGGAGACCTTCTAGTCGTGGGAAGCTCTGTTGCAATCCTCAGAGCCCTGGCATCCACTTGTTAGTCATCTTGTAGGTATAAAATAGCAAGGACGCTATTAGGTGGAGGCCATCGCTATTAGGTTGGAGGCCATCGCTACTAGTAACAAGAAGCTACTAGTAACGTGCTCTTTCATAAAATGGGCACAAAATCCAAAAGTTAGTCATTTAGTCTCCCTAAAAGCACTGTCTCTTGATGGATCTTTCCTCCTGAAAAAAAAAAAAAAAAAACTCCGGTTCTGCATGGCCAACCATTGCCCGCGCCGCTTCAACCCACTTCAGTTCCGGAAAGCTCTAGATGGCACCTTGTCTCCATCCTTCGCCCCAGTGAAGGTGATCTCCGTCGCTAATTTGGCGGTCACGGAGTTGGGTGTGATCCTGCGAGCCGTTCGCCCACGGCAATGCGGCGGTGCGACGGTGCGGTGATGGCGTGGACGTCATGCGCACTATGAAACTTGCCCTGCTGGGCTTCACTGGCTTCAGATGTGCTCCTGGTTATTGGCTCAACTTGAAGCAAAACCCCGAGCCCAAAATAGAAGTAAACGTTGAAAGCCAAATGACATGTACTGTCGGTGCAACTCAAGAAGCAGTTCACACATAAAGTATCGCTAAACAGGACACGTCAGCTTGGAGGATGATGGATGGCTAGGCCATACGATGTGACCCGCGTTCCAAAGGCAACGCTACCACAGTCGTGTTACTACAGGATGGGTCAGGTACGGCCTCCAGTAAGATTCGGAAAATTACGGCAGAAGCAAAAACACCCGGCCTCGTCACGCTGCTTGGTGCATGGTTCATCTGTTTGCCATCTGCAAAACAGACTAACCTCCAAGGGTCAGTGAGTCCATATATAGAAATCCACTGAGCAGTGTTTGGACCGCGGGTGGACATATGAAATCAAAACTAGGCTCTCAAAGACACAGAGGTGAAATACATGGAAGCTTGAAACTATCTCAGATTTAGAAGAAAAGAACAAACGGTTATGTATAATGAAACATGGTCGAACAGCCTGCTAGCTTCTAGTCCCTGCTTGGCTGCATGTTTCACCAACTTATGTCCTTCCCCAGGTGGAATTGTGATGGAACCATCAACCATTAGAAATCTTTGTCATCGCAACCACTGTTTGCTGGATGAACTCGCTGTCTCCCAAGATCAACCGAGTGGCAAATGGAGGGTGGCGGCCGCCAGCGCCAGCTGGCGGCGTGCCATGATGTGCAGTCAACAGTCGTCCTTCCGACACTCGGAGGGGGGCACAGGGACCGAAAGGGGCCGGGCACAGTGGCCGAAACGGAAACTGGTCGAAGTGAGATGATGTCTCTACTAACAACTTGAACACTGAATCAACACACTGTTGGTTGTCAATGGTTGTCAAAGATTGGGTTAAAGGGATGGCGTTGTGGAGGAAGGAAGACCGTGAGGAATACTTCACGAGCAAAAGTGTGACTTGCGTCATGGGGGGATCCTGAAGCGCTGACCTTTCGAAACGTGTTGCAGGTCACTCTTTGTTGGTCAACTCTTCAGGTGGGGTAAATGGCCGTGCTGGAACCTGAGTGGTAAGCAGGCATCCGCTGTTGGCAATCTGCTCAATGGTTGACATACTCAACTAAGAAAGTTCAGAAAGGAGCTTTGTAGAATCAATTAATTGCCAAATAAATTGAATGCCGACATGCCTTGGCGGCTTGTAGAGCCGGCTCTGCCTGAGGAACATGCCTCTGCCGGCAGCCAAACGTTTGCTGCATGAAAAGGGAGAGAATGATATCACTTGTGCACCCATGCGAAATGCTGTGCTTCTTCTCTCTGTGGATCTCCATTCATTTTATTGCCTGCACGAGAGTTCACTACTGACGGGGATCCATCAGAAATGCACGCCTCTCAGCAGGCTATCGGCATCAAAGGAGTAAGTCCGAGCCAAGAAGACATCCAGAATGCCAGATCTCTTTCTCAAACTTGTTGCGGAATGTCCATCAAATGTCAGCTAATTGGCTTATCAAAGGCCTGAGAGATCTAGAATCTAAACACAGTCTCATTGCAGCTGAGAATAGAAGCTACTTTCAGCCCATGCCATAAACCCTCTGCCAAGGAGCAGCAAAAATCCTCTGTCCACTGGAAGGTCCCCCCTCCTAGCAGGACTCCTAGCATGCCCACGTGTTGACAGAGTTGACCTTTCAAGATTGCAAACGGTTGAGCCCTTTCCTTGATTCTCAAGCACAGCTAGCTCCCTTGCTCTTCAAGGCTTTTGAATCCATGCGCAGCCATGCGCAGCCCGCTTTGGAACTCATGTCTAGCTGCTAGCTGCTAGCTCTTCTTGGCCTTGCACTTCTGTCAGCCACCCTTGAGCTCGGCAGCACCGAACTAGAAGATATGAGACCGCCAATTTGTCTTCCATGTCCGCCACCACACACACAAACACTGTTTTTAAAACTTTCAGCTCATCCACAAAGCAGGGGTGTAGCATAAACAACTTCTGTGAATGTCCCTATATTGCAGTGTCAATACCACATGGAAGGTTTCTGAAGTTTCTGTGGTGTGATGTTATTGTCAACCGAGGTCGGCGTCATCTTGACAGTTCGGCCATGATCGACGGATGCAACTCGGGGATCAAATCCATACAAACTAAAAACTCAGGTACAGTATATAGGTGTCATCTTGACTGTGTTGCAACATCTGGTCCTTTGTTTTTTGAATGTCGTCTCCATGTTTGTGCTCAGTTTTGATACCTTGCCCCAGCAATCTCTATGTGCAGAATGAGTTTCCAAACTCCATTCAAATCCATCAGAATCTCTTCCAAAGGTTCCACTTCCCAGTGCACTACTTGCCACTATCTATGTGCAGTCACAGAGTTTTGGGTGGCGAGTTGAAACCATAAATGTTGTTTTTTCCATTCTTGGCTCTGTGGAACCTCCGGTCTCACCAGGGCTCAGCTTCGCGGACCTCGAGACGGCCGCCACGGAGCTCCGAGAGCCGCAAGTCGTTGGACAGGATGGAGCCATCCTGGCGCCCGCCGTTGGCGGCTTTAAGGATCATTAAGGAGTGTTTTCCGGTCCACCACACACTTGCTGCTGGTCACGTACATCAACTGGCACTAGCGATTTAGGGGGCCCGGCAGTTTCCAAGGTGGTTCCATGAGCAGGGTGAAAACGACCATTCCCTGTCCATCGGTCCATCTCTTGAAACAACCAAACCTGTAAGACGTGCTTGTAAGTTTGGCAACTGACAACCTCTGCGAATCTTAGTCGTTCCACCGATTGCAGTAATGGGAATAGATTCTTTATCCGCCTTGAATGTTCCTCGAGTTTCCCTTCCTTCGTCTAGCTGAACAACTCTTGCCCAAAGTTTTTTGAGGATGACGCTGACAGTTTTCGAGCGTTTCCTCACAGAGTTCCTCAGAACAAGGCCCAACACAGCTCGCTTCCGTTACGGCCCAACACATGAGTTCCATCCCAAGGCCTGAAGGAGCTCAAGGTTCTCGCTTGGAAGTGTCCTGTGGGTCTTTCGCAGGCTCCAGGCACGAGATCAAAGGTCCAACATCCTTCAACCGTGTTTTGTTGTGTCAACTCGTTGCCTTCGTCTCATTTTGGCCGCCTTCGTCAAACCAAAGTGAGTTCACGTCACAACACGTCGGAAAGTTTTCTGGTTTTGGGGTCGGAACAAGGGAATACATAGATAGAATACATCGGCTTGTCCGGGAGCTATGCAAAGTTGAGCTCCATCGCATGACTATTTCTGGTGAGCTGCCGCATCAAACCTGCCCTTTCGGAACAACATGCAGCTTTGATGCACAGAAGTTAGCCTACTCGCAGCATAAACAGGGTACTCTAAAGGCTAGCCAGTAGCTCCTAGTAGCGTCCTTGCTCCTAGTAGTAAGGCCAGGAGCCCCTAGTAGCGCCCTTGCTCCTAGTAGTAAGGCCAGGAGCCCCTAGTAGCTTCTTGTTATACCTCAAAAAGTCGGTGCAAATCGGACGTTCGTTCAACTCATTCTCCTGAGAATGTCCTTCACCGTGCAGGTCTTCTCCATCTCGCGAACCTGGATCAACTTCATCTTCTCTACAACGCGCCACGCAGCGTTCTGCTCAGCCTGCCTTAGAGAGGGACCCAATTCCCCAACTGGCTATCTCGGAGGGCGTTCGCTGACAAATGCAATGTCCAATCCCTCGCCACTTGATGCTGTCTTGGAACATGTTCTGGTGAATCCTTGAATGTTTCAGGGTTTCTGTCGAGCCAGGTCGTAGCACCAAAGCAGAGCTACAAAGCAGCAACGAACTGTTCTCAGAGTCGAGACTCATCTCCACTTCCCCCTCAAAAGCCATGCGGCCGTTGGCTCTCGGCAGGGATCCCTTCGAAGCTGCCCTGCAGCATTGGCATGTTCGCCTCAGCCCGGCAGCGCCAGAAGCCATCACGCCCTTTGAAGGCAAAGCGCAGCTCGGACCTGTGGAAGACGGAGAGTGGGTTGTGAGAAGCATGCCGGTCAAGATGGTGATGCTGCGCCCTTCTTTTCTGAAGAGCCAAGTGAATTGTGAGAGGCACTTCGATACTCTGTGAACTATGCACGAACTCATCTGAGGTCTACAAGTTCTCCAGAAACTTTGCCGCGCTGAGCATCCAATGTAACATGGACAAGAATGTCGTTGTGCCACACCCTCGACTAAATGGACGAACCAAAATCCGAATCTCTAGAAGTCCACAAATCCGACCAATCCTCGATTCCACCAAGACACGGACTTGGGCTTCGTCCTAAAGCACCCTGAAGGTGATCCAGCAATTCATTCTTCGGGTTGAAGAACTTCTGGGTAGGCTCGAAAACCAACTCCAGTCGTACATAGCCACTTGGAACATCATGGCCTCTCACGAAACAAACCTTTGTCCACTAGTCCAAGCAAACTCTGCTACACACCTTTCGCATGGTTTAAGCACAGCTTTCTTTTCTCAACGCAATTCTTTCCCTTTTGATGGAGCGAAATCCAGGCAAAACCAAAAAAAAACTGGCTGCTCCTGTCCTGTCGCTGTCACCACTTCGATGTCATCCAGATCTTCCAGGCGCACGACGTGCCAAGAGTCCTCCGACCCTTCACTCGTCGAGGACATCGCAGGCGGCTCCGCCGCCGAGGGCTCTGCCGGCTCCACGAGTTGGCAAAGGCCTCGGATGGCAGCAAGTGCAGCCTTCTTCTTGGCCGACTTCTTGTTGCTCGCCTGTGCGACAAGAGGCTGTCAACAGGCCTGTGCACTTGTCTGAGCCGGGACCGAATACCTGTTCGATGTTTTGGGCACTGGGTCCGGCGTGAATATTGGAGGAGCGTCAGAGCTGTGGTGGAATCATGTATATAATTGGAATACCTTTTAAGCAAGAATTCAGTTCAGATGCGCGAGAGGCATCAGACAACTTGAGAGAAAAATCAGACAACTGGCACTTTCTACTAGTAACAAGAAGCTATATACTAGTAGCAAAGGGCACCGCTACTAGTAACAAGGGCATTCCTACTAGTAGCAAGGTAACTCCTGGCATTTCAGTGGCCACCCAGTCGTGGCACCTCGTCCCCGACGAAGCGCTTCCCGGCCACGATCACCACGGAGCGAAAGCTCTTGTCACCGAAGTCCTGCCAAGTCCATGGGAGTTCCTCAAAATCCTGGCAGGGCTGTCGCAGGTCAAGCTGTCAAGCTCCGAATCAGACTTTCTTACTCCACAGTTCATATTCACATATCCACCATGCCAACAATGGCGGTGATGACTAGATCATGAAGACATTCATGACACAGGGTGCTGGATAGGCAAATGTGCCAACAAGCTGCTAGAATCAAAAGCTAAGGCGCAAACACAACATGACACGCCCCTTGTGGAATCTGGAAAACTACAGCTCTGGAAGTCAAAGCGAGCCGTGTTGGCTATTTCTGACACATTCCTGATCCCGCTCCTTGAGGCGACAATGGCCTTCCAGGGCCTCCTTCAAAAGACTGACCGCACTTTCCTCGTCTTCGCGCTTGCAACTCCGCGACAAGGTCAGCCCCACACGTCGGAGAAGCTCCTCCGCTTCAGGGCTGCCACCTGATCTGCGCACCAGTCCGGACAAGCCTTGCTTCTTGCAATCCTGGCCCCTTCCCTTTCCTAAGGTCAATCAATGAATTCCCTTCACGTCCAGCTGGCGGCGTTGGCGTTGATTCTCCAATGCGTGAGACATGAATCTAAAAGGCGAAAATTCTTTCTCCGGGTCAGTAGCATGCAAAAGCCGTCGAAATTCTGCGGTTAACTACAGTTGTGGATGAGTGGCCGAGCTAAGTACAGTGACAGTGCAACGTGAAGCATCGTTGATCCCCAAACGCCTTGAATCACCTCCATGCGCTCCAGGGGCTCTCGCTCCGGCTCTGCTTCGCCTAGCACACGATGGAAGGCTGTCGGCTGCACGGCGTGGGCCGCTTTGGTGCTCGGCCGCGTGGTGCCCTCCAAGTAGGCCACATTGCGGGAGGGAGCTGCTGGCAAGTGGTAAGCATCCTCCAAATGAGAACATGAAGCCATATTACGTGAAATGTGGTAGCTATCAGCTATCAGCTTGCCCGTACAGCAGAGCAATATGAGTGTCGAACCTGCAGTTCTGGCGCACGGCCACGATCTTCAACCTAGCCAAAGCTGATCAGGCACATGACCATGCCGGATTGACAAAGTTGACAAGTTGTAGCTGAGATTAAGGATTCCAAAGAATCGACCTCCTTGCGTTCCGCCCCATATGCTCTGTTGAGAAGCGCAAGCCACCCCAATGGCTTTCAAACCAACCCCACCTCTTCGAGAACATCAGCCTGAAGCTGCCCCTGTGCATGGAGACGCAAAGGCTGGAAGGCTGCACGAAGTGGCTCTTAGCAAAAGGTGCAACTACTTACCACCTTAATTGCTAGATGTTCTTATATGGACATGTCACCTTAAGCATTCTCAAGAAGTATTCTGCGATGTGTAGAACATTAAGTGGCCATTGCTGGAGCGTTGGCCTTCTCCTGTTTTTGACTTTCTCCATAGAACAATCAGACTCGCCTGCGGATGGCCAGTCCGGTCCCATTGGGGCCTGCAACGTTGCTTGGCTATGGCTATGTTGTGAGGGGGCGGGAATTGATCTTCTTGCTGGGGACAACATCTAGATTTGCGTGATTGAAACATTGAGGTCTCCACTTTGCTGCGATCTACCCTGTCCTTTCTCTGATCTTTCTCCCCATCCTGCTCCCTCTACCTTTCCTTTAAACTGCCTTTGCTGCGCAAAGACACATTTGTAGCACGTTGCCCTCATGAAATTTGTGGAGGCATGGGTTACATTACCAACTGGAGGCGGCCTGCGCTCCGTCCATCAACTACAACTACACAGGAGGCCTGCGCTCACCAGAACATAGAAACAGCTTCCAGCTGCCTTATTTGTCACCCAAAAGAGGCCAAGGATGCCAAACGGACCCTTAAGGCGTTCACTTTGCATATGGGCAGCTGGAAAACTGCAAGGGCTACCCGGAACTGAAGCTTTCATCAAAGAACTGCGCCTGCCAAACAGAGTTGCAAAATCATCTGAGTCTGGGTCGACACCGATGAGTTTAGAAGTTGACAGCTCCGAGTTGAACAACATAGCGAGTCCATTTAGTGACCTGCCGCCCTGCAAGGACGCTACTAGGGGCTCCTGGGCATCGCTACGAACGGAGCAAGGACGCCCACGACCACTTCGAGTTCGTGCCTGGAGAGCTCGGACTGATGGTGTGCGCCAACCTCACGAACCAGGAGCACAAGGAGACCTCTCGTTTGCTTCTCGTTTGCTTCCTTGTGGACGACTTGAACGAATTGTTTTCTGCATTTGGGGTTTTGGGATGACCAGTTTGTCTCATTCTATCAAGAACTTCAGGCTCCGAGCGTAGAAAAATGACACCTCAACGAAGGAGTCCGAGGTACTCAGCTGTATCTTTTGGCCATGAGGGACCCACCAACATACTGCGTAAGTGCTATTCCCGGACCTCGGCCTTGATGCTCCAAGGAACTGACAAACCATGATTAGACTGACTTTGGCCACACACACGCACACACCTCTACTCTGTCATATTGAACCGAAGGAGTTCTATGTATATATTTGAAAAGCCCTTCCACTTGGGGCAAATGGCTGATCCTTCTGCGCGAACATCGACGCCGTCCATGAGAACAGCTGCATCGGGCAAACGCCGAAGAATCGATGCCTCAGCTCCCAATTTTGCCCTCCACCGCACCGCAGCTCTGTCTGCAAAATGTCTTTGCATGGCTGGAACGACCAAAAAAGTGTGTGACATTCCATGGAAAAGGATATTGACTTTGATGGGCGAACCAAACAATTGGGCACTTGTGAGATGAGAAAGCTAAGAACACCTAGGAAAAGAAGACTGGCACCCCACTCGAAACAGATTTAAAAAATAGAAAATATAAAAACTGCCAAACCAAAAAGGCAGTACTTTTACTCAACGCAGTGTCAAGACCCAATCTATGTGAAGACAAGTTGCTCATTTGCACAAAGGGACCACGAAACTAAGGAAACCAACTAGCTGGGCTTGGATCAAATTGTTTCTTGCCTCTGCTCCCTCGAAAGGGCGCTACGGGCGTGCGAATAACTGATGTGTTTTCTATAGCTCAGGCGAACAACCGTTTTTCTTGCTTTCCACCCAAAACCCTGTGATGCAAAATGTTGCTCGTTGACGGCACCCTGTCGCGCCGTTCTGCTAATATATCCCGTTGTCTAGCTTTGGAAGCAGCTGGTTTTGCCTGAGTGAAAGCTACTCGAAGGACACTCGCTGAACGTCCGCTCGAAGAACAAGCAAACATGTGCTTCGAATTGCTTCGATGTGTGTTCCACTACCACTGTGGAGCTTTCACAAATGCAGAAAGGGCCTACACATGTATACATGCGTGTGGAGGTTGTCTGTCTTGGTCGCTCATTTCTGAAGACCCAGCGGCCGATCTCTCGTCCTCGTCATGAAACTCAGGATCTCCTTCATCACCTTGTCCAGCCAAGAGCTCAAGAAGCTTGTGACGCACTTGTCGCACACTCTTCTCGTGGGTCGCCCACACCTTCCCCCATCTTTCCTTAGTGCAAGTTGTTCTCAATGCACCACATGGTACCCAGGCTGCGTTGCAGATCTGCTTGAGAACATAAAAGCACAGCAGCAGGCCTTCCGTCTGTTCTACTTTGTTGAGCACCCACTCCCCATGAATCCAAATCCGAGTTTCCGCTTGCCTGTTTTTACCTTGCACTGTTCACAGAGCTCAAAAAGTTTTGAATGCTAAGGAAGTCATGTTCTAGTGATTCTAGTGAATCTCTTCTAATCACCAAAAAGAAGAAAGAAAAAAGTTTCTTTGCAAATCTGGATCACAGTCGAATTCAGAGGTCCAGTTGATCTCGTCAACCTCGATGTCGGTCAGGTCGATCAAAGGCATCACTACCTTGAAGATGAAGAGTCGCCGGTTGTCCGCTGAATACCAGCATTGCCCAGCCACACTCCAAGCGACCCTGATGCAAGGAAAATCCTCACAAAGCCAAAGAAGCACAAGTGAAGATCAGAAGATTGACTTGGAATTTTCCTCTAGAATTCGGACTATACCTTCGCGGTCGATGATTCCCATGCAATACCCCCGACCTTGCCTTTCTTAACGCCTTGCTTGGTCAGAAAAAGTCTGCATCAAGCTATTCGTCGCAATGCAATGATTGAAACCAACAGTTGACACAAGTTGTTCAGCAAGCTACTGACCACCTCAGCAGGGTCCCGCTTACCACGGTTGCCACTAAATCATCGCTTCGTTCTTCGGACACAAACGATGTCTGCCTGTCCTTGACGTCCTTTGTACCCAAGACGATGTCTGCCATCGCTTGAAGCACATTGCTGCCGTTGGAAAAGGTCTGGTTGACCGTCAACTGCAGCGCTGCGGTTGATGTCCGTTGCGAGAAGGTTGATGAGTACTAGTAGCTAGAAGCTAGTAACAAGAAGCTACTGGGTGGAGGCCATCGCTATTAGGTTGGAGGCCATTGCTACTAGTAGCTAGTATGTCAGATTTGAGTTGGATTGGTTATCTTCTGAAAGAATCGGCCTGGGCAACGGACCCGAACCCGCCCAGCCTGCGTGTTTAAGATCTCATCAGGCTTGAGACGTCGACGGCCCAGCTCAACCTGCTCATGGAGCCAAACAAGTGCAATGACAGGAGGCTCAGAGATGCAGGGAACACTAAAGCGCAGGAAACTTATGTCCAAATTGATGTTCACCTGCAAGCACCTCCAAACGAGCTAGTCGTTCCAAGGGGGACTCTGTCGTGTAGACTGTCATATGACACACGCCATACGTGTACCTTGGAAACATGTTGATCCTAAAACAATGTGGAGATTCTGAAATTCAGCGAATATATCAGATTATAACCCTCTGCCTTCCAGGCCTCTTTGAAACAAATGTGCAAATCAAATGGGAGTTCAGCCCCAGCTCCAAGCATCTTCCAGAAAATTAAAAACATTATAAGAACATCCCGGGTTCGAAGATATGCGCCAGCAGTCACCAACGTACACTTTCGTCGAAACCATTGTGACCCAAGGTGAGGTCTGTTAAACCTGGCCTGCCTTCAAATCAGACAACCTTGATGACTCATCACGATTTCCCGTCCTGCCTGCTCTGCGCCGCTGGCCACATGTGTGCGCTCCCGACTGCTCAGGTGGGCGGGCGCCGATGGCGAGATGCGGGAGACCAAGCAGCGGAGCTCCGGACCTCGGGACGGATCGTCTCCGGAGCTCTGCTGCAGCGGAGTTCCCCACCATCACTCTTTGAAATGAGGTTGGAGAAAACCTGAAAGCACACAATATAAGATGGGTGATGGTCTAAGTGATCTGGTGAAGCACTGGTATGATATAGGCATGCCGCCAACCATTGAGCTTCGCAAGCCCTTTAATGTGATAAGACTGCACAAACAGGTCTATCACCAGTGACGAAGACTGGATCCGAGGTCCTGGACCTCACATCACAAATTGCTCTTGGTGTTGTGTATCCAGCCATCATGTGGACAGGTTCTCTATAGAAAAACATTGAAAGATCTTGGTTCCAAGGCACACGCGATTGGCTCTGCTTCTAGCGCAGACCTGTACCACCTGCAAGATCATGTAAACAACTCGCAACATTTAGGCGCAGCTTCAAATGTTGCCTTTAGCGGGATTGTACACTGGTTCCAAAAGAGATTTGGACCAAGGGGTGAGTTGAGATGGCTCGTACTTTCTGCTCTAGCACATGACTGAAAGTTGGTCGAAATAGAAGCCAGTCAAAATATTGTAACACCAAATGACACCATGAGAAGTAATTAAAAACATAGGGTACCTTCATGGAACCGTTGGCTAGTCTCTCACCAACCACCAACGGCATGGCAGCACCACCTGGCAGATTGTCGCAGGATGCGCTTGGGCACAGTGTTGTGGCAATCTAGCCACCCTTGAGAATGGAGCGCCAAGACCGACACATATTTCAATAATGTGTCGGTGTCCACATCGATATGTTCCGCCATCAGCCTGCCTTAGACGAGAAATTCGCAGTTATTTCAACCGCTGCTGATGTGTTCCTCGTGCGGGGGGAACGTGCCTAAAATCTATCAATCATGCTCAGTTCTCAGACCCACTCAACTTGCAAAGAAAGTACTTGCACTTCCCCGTGCACAGCTACTTCCCTGCATCAATTGGTTTTGGCTTTTACTTGTAATTACCCATTTCTGCACAAATTTGTTCAGAAGCAAACGACACATGACACATGACACCTACCTTCCACCTGCGACGCAGTTTCTTCTTGTTTTCTGTGAAGTGGAGCCTTTGGAACACACACGCCTATCTGACTCATCAAGGTCGAGAGATCGCCTATCCGTTAGGAATCTTACACCGTCGACTTTCAGCCAAGCGTCATACGTCCTTTTCTAAGAGCTTCAGACCCCCTGTTGGGCCAGCAAATAAGACACCCCCATCAACCTTCAGACTCTTGAAAGATAGGCCTCGGATCTTGCATTCATGCGAACTGATTTGCGATCCAGGAAAATGTCCAACTCCCCTCAATGGCAGCCCCATCTGCTGTTTGTTGGACCAGACCTTGTCTGACAAGCCTGGACCTACCACCTCTGCCTCCAGCACAATGAAGTTGATGATCACGCACTGACAGAGAGTCTTTCAGTCTGAGTGAATTCGAGGAGCCTCCTGCAGTCTGGCTAATGTACTCTGACAAAATGCAAGGAGCACTCCTGGAGCTCACCACGAAGGGACAAAGCCCACTCGTCAGTTGACTGACGCCTAATCGAAATTGATCCATGAAGTGCGCCAAAGACCCTCGCAACAGCAATTTTGCCACAAAATATTCATGTAGTCAAAAGAACGCAGCATGCCAACAAAACCAATATGAAGGGTTCTATCATGGACGGTCAAGAAGATGCTCCCAGGAACCAGTGCGATCTACAAAGCACAAAATGTTGTTTTTGGTAGTCGAACGACTTCACCAAGTCCGAAACAAACCCGCAGATCTCCTGAAGTTCACTTCGGCGCCACTTCCAGGCACTGTGAAGGGATGCACGTCGCTCCTTCGGCAGTATGGAGGCAGCGCTACAGGGATCACCGCCTGCATGGACTCCACATTTGTCTACAGTCTCCATCGACCGCAACGATGTTGATGAATCCAGCTAACATGGTCAGGGTCAATTCTACGACGAAGTGAGGTATCAAGAGACCGTCTTGGAGATGAGTCGTGAAGGGAAAACAAGCACATGAAGAGCCAAATAAACAAGTTCAAACATCCCGCTCTATCAGTGTCACCAATGTTGTTCGGACGCGTCACCGCGCCTCAGCCTTTCGGGCTACTGTGTCCATGACCTAAGAGCAAAGGACCTATACAAGGAAACCCAAAAAAGAACCCCGCCACATGGCAGAAAATAGAAACTGTGTATCCCTGTCAGCTCACTTTAGCTTTATGGTCTCCCGCTTTATCCCTCGGATTTTCATCTCTCCAACACTTTTGCTGCAAGCTGCTTCTGCACGTTGGCATTCCAAGTCGGGGCAGTTCTCAAAATAGTAGACGCGTGCCTCCTTTCAATATGCTCCGCGTGTGTTCCCACCAGCAACTGATACTGATACTTGCAAGCCTCTGCATGTTCTCTGCACTTGAAAACACCACGGTGACAGGGGTAAAGAACAACAGTTTAGAATTTACAAAGAACGGTCCGTCTCCTCCTTCCTCGCGCGGCCAACTCCTTGCACGTGGCTGCGGGTGGTCTCAAACTCCTGGAAGCGTATGACAAAGGAGCCTGGGCGTGGTTTCGTAGCTGAACGCGCAACCGAAATTGATCATAGCACCTTGCTGCGTTTGGGGCAAGGACACAAGTTGTTCCCTTCCCCCTGACCCAACTTTCACAAGCAGGTGTTGCACTTGTGGAGCCAAGATTCACAAGGAAAGCAATTGCTATGTCAATGATGTTCAAGTCCAATCTCCCTTCCCAAAACCACACCTCTCTTTGTCCCAGAGGTTTTGCAGTACCGTACATCCTACTGAAGTGTTGTTGGACCTACTTCGTCGCGACTAAGTCAGGACGCTAAAGCATGGTTGATTTGCAACTGACAGCAGGCGCGATTGATTCGCCCAGCCACACTCAGCCACGTCGAGGCCTTCTTCCGCGCACTGGGTGCACACGAGGAGCCGAGTGCGGCCTTCTCGGAAATCCAAGAATGCCTTGTTGCCTCAGGAAATCCACACTGGAAGCTTTTGAAATGGCAAACCAGATCGGACCCAGGTCTTATCGAAAACAAATAGCGTTGAAACCCAAGCGAAGTCAACAACTGAGTGCGTAAGGCGACGCTGCGGCACACAAGTGCCGAGGAATAACGGCTTGATCCGTTTGCCTTCTGCAGAAAATGAGGCTAGATCACATTGGGGTGGACAATCTAAGTATACCTTGAGCAGTCACCACACCGACCTCTTCTCCACCCATAATAGTCCACTGCCAGGCACGCGAAAGCTCCGTCATGGAATTCACCCCGCTCACCGCGCCAATGGCGACATTCGCTAGCTTCTGCTCTAACACGGCAGCCAGCGGGAGAGCCAAGGCCACCTGCAGCAGGGTCCAAAATAAGCATTATCTTGTTAATGACCAACACATAAATTGATGACTTATCAAGAAGTAAGAATAATGGCGATTAAGACCAAGAAGCAAACCACTGTTAAACATGTCTTCATGTACACTCCTCCCTTTCCAGTGGGTCAAGGACCAAGCTTGAGGTGCGATGGAAGTGCCACGCACACGCAATGTATTCCCGCTAGCTAGTCTGACCCTCCGATCCTCGACTGTCTGTGAGCTAGTCTAACCCCTAAATCCAGCCTTTGAAACAAAGACCATTCCGCAAGACGTCTCGTTTGTGCCCAATTCTTGTTCCAAGCACTGGAGCAATGCACAGAGCTTCGGAGAGCTTGCATCAAAGCTCCTGACATTCTTGTCCATCTCAGCAGCTTTGGTCAAATTGAATTGCTGTGAGATTGGAACATGTGCGGAATGTCCTAAGGCAGGAGAACCAAGGAGAACCATTTCAGCTGGATACACCCAGCTTTGCCCAACTTTCTGCTGCATGAAACTCTTCACGCGAGCGTCAAGAAACCGTTGCTCTTGTAGGATTACAAATGGTTGATTGCCACATTATTTGCATCTTCACTCTACTGAAGAACATGTTTCCGACCATCGGAAGAAGCCTCAGGATGTCCATCTGTTTGACGGACTCCACCACCCCACGCAGGGCCAGCTTCAACTTTTCCAGATCAACCTGGGGCAGTTCATGCCCGCATATTCTCCGAGGTCTGATATGTTACACAACAATTTGATAATCTTAAGAATCGGTTGGTTGCTCACTGGAGATCTGAATGATTGAGATCTGAATGATTCTAGATTCGAGGCATTATATATTCCCTCTAACTACGGAGTATGAATAGGATCGAGCACACAGCTGGTTTTGGGGATTGCCCTTGCAAGCTGGCGTGATGTGTCCCTAAACAATTCCCACTGTAGCTATCCCTTGTATGCCTTGGCATACCAAATAAGATACTGTATACAAATGCAAGTCATTACTCATGCTCTTCAAAGGCACCACCCTGCCTAGCTTGCCCTACAATGTGCTTGAAGAACCCCGGGTCAGCAGTGTCAACTCTCACGAAACAGAGGTGTTGCATGGCTGTAGATGAGATTTCAAACCTTTAGGGCTCAGGCTTGACAAATCCTAAAAAACACAGCTGCAAAGACTCATTGCAACTTCAAGATCCCAACAACCCGCCTGGTAAATCTGCGCCAATGACTTTCTCTCCAAGATCTTGGAGAAGTTGTCAATGCGACCTGGAGCAGTGGATCAACTCCCATCGTGCATATTGGCGCGATGTTGGTGCCATCTTCCAAAGAACATTTGTCATTGGACAGGTGTTCACAACCCTGTCAAACCCAAGTTTTTGTGGATCTCGAGCAACAACTCAGCACTTAAAAGCACAGTATATTACTGATCTCAGCTTCGATTGCCTGCGTCTGCCACAACAAGCTGCGACATTTTGGAGGTTCAACAAGTGTAACGTCCTCCTAACTGCAGATAAGCGTTGAAAACCTGTCACCCGGGGAAATTGTGGTCACAAAGCGCCCAGAAAATGAAGTCACAAAGTTTGTCATCAACAACTCGTCGACTAGGCCAAGGAATGGCGTTGAAACAAACTCACAGCCCCTTCCCCTGACACTTGCATGGATCCGATTGCGCCAATGCGACCGCGCCTTCCATTTGCGCCACGACACCATGCTCCAGGCCATGCAGAAAAGCTTCGGAGCCCAGCTCTTGAAGCAGATCGACCATCTGCTGGACGAGTCGTTGTGCCTCCTGCGGGCCGTGGATGCTGGGTGTTGCACTCCACCAATTAAAATGACAGTGCAAGTTTTGTCCTGCTATCACAAAAGGATTTTCCAGCTAAAGTGTGAACTTGCTGCTGAACAAGGGCACAAGAACAGCAACTGGAGATAGGCTCTGCGCATGTGTTTTTCGCACTTCATGGTGAACCCAATGGCTTCTATTGCAAGTAACCCCATCTTTCTCTGTCCTTGGGTTCTCTCACGTCAGCCTTCCGCAGCTCTTCCCAAAGCCGGTGGCAAACCTCCTCGGCTAACCTTTGGGCTCCAAGCTGAGGTGCTATGTACCTGGCAAACATTTGTCTGCAGAATTGCCATGTGAATCCTTCATCATCCTTGTTGCCTTTCAATTTCATGCATCAGCGGCGGAAAGTTATCACGGCAAACAACCATCACATGGTCCCAGCGAGTTTGGAACTGTCGTGGTGATTAGACAAAAACGTATACACGTACGTCTCAAAGGTCACTCAATCTTCTTGAAGCGCGGCTTGCGGCGCTGAGGAACATCACAGGTGTGCACCTGTCCACGAAAAAGGGCCTGAGCGTGTCACGAATGACTCTTCCACTACAAACTTCACTGCCGCATTCAGCAAGTGTGAAGCAGGCTCCAAAATGCATATCAGCAAATCCAAGGTGCCTGCAAGGTTCTGCGGCTCTGCTGGAAGCCCTCCGCTGTGGTGGCCTTGTCGTTGGCATAGGATGCCGTGAGTCCCAAGACCCTTGGTGACGAAGAGGCTATCCGGTGCAGGATTTCTGCTCCAGGGCTGTCGCCAGTGGCCTGTCCGAGTGTGATTGCGAGATGACATTGCAGCAGATCCAGCACATGAAGAGGTGGGTTCATATTGACTGGTGAGGTCTGGCAAGGGTTGTCAAAGGATCGAAAGCGGCAGTAGGCTACGGTTTCAATCTCTTCGGAGCGCTGGGCGTGTCTGTTTGACGCTAATCCCTCTCACCTTGCTTGCTTCGTTCGCCCTCTACTGTAGTTCCTGTGAAGTACAGCCAAAATTCAGTGAGCTTGCCAAGTGGTGTCCCAGCTACAAAGCTCTCATGATGGTGTGGGGAAGGGAAGAGACAGTCAAGGTTGAATTCCAAGCCTCCTGCAGACAAAAACCGACACACCTCCCTCAGTGCCTTGTGGCACTCATCGATGACCACAAGGGAGAATTCCGACAAGCTGAGATAGCCTCACAGAGATAATGTGGTTGTGTCCATTACCGGCATTTTGACTGCTTTGGTCCTGTTTACTCTTCAGAGCCATACGTCACAGCCCTCTGCGGCTTGATTGACCTTACTGTAGGTAGTGTTCGAGCCCTCGAGCGCAAAACAAGTGCATCTGATCAAGCAACCTTCTCAAAGAAGAAACAGCACCTAGCCCATCATACCTGCCATGTTATACTCCACTTGCCAAGAAACCGTGGTCCACAATGGCCCGGCAAAGGGTCTCGATGGTGCCCACCAGCACCTGGCTGTCACTTTGGTGACAAAAGGTCTTTGTGTTCAGTTCACACTTCAAAACCACTTCCAGCAAATGATGTCAGGTGGCCCACTAAGAAATCTCTAGTTGTTTTGTGGCTGCACAACTTGAAGTCTGTTGCCAATGTCCGATCGCACCCCGCAGCAACGGCAACCAAACCTTGATCCCACTTCTCCACCTTCACAATTGACATACCCCACCTTCGAACGGCTCATGCAGTCCCGCCACTGCTCCAAACACCAGTCGCTGGTGGTGTAGCCTGCAAGATGGCCGGTGGCTTCTTGGAATTTTGAGTGCACCAGCACTGGTCTTTCTGTGCGGGGCTTACACTGTTCCATACACAAGAACTGGTTGTCCCGATTCCTTCTATCAAGAACCCATCTCTTTTCCGGATCAAGTCCCGTTACATTTGCTGAAAGGAACTGAGGTCAACCTCCAGCAGATCCTGTGGGCGGAAAACCTATATAACGTGAATTGTGTATAGGAAGTGCGCAATCTGACCTGATGATGTCTGATGTCATGGTTTGTGATGTGTTGAAGTGTATTGCACAACTTGCGATGTTGTGAGGTGTAGTGCACCCGGAAAAGTGCTCTGCAGATCTGCCGTGAAGTGACGTGTGATGGCCTGTGATTACGGCGAAGGTTCTTGATGTGGTGAAGTGCACAGTGCAGTGTAGCGCTGAGAAGTGCAAGCGTCACTTTACTGGACTACCGTTTTGCCTGCCCCCGGCACACACTTGCAACTCGAAACTTTCTGTCCGAAACGTCCTTTGCAAGACCAATGTGCTGCAAATGCATTATACACTTGGATCACTTGGATATCAAAGGGTCATTGCCTCAGGCTGCCTCAGGACCTGGGAATGGTCAACGGCCATGTCCGCCCACCATGGCTTGGTGAAGTCCGAGGCACCGGTCACCTCCACCACATCCTCGGAAAGCGTGGATGGATCCTCCTCCCGCAGGGAGTCCAAGAGGCGCTGCCACTGCTGATGCGCCAGCAATCGAGTTGCAGTCCTCGGACGCACGGAGGAAGAAGCTTGGACAAAGGGGGTTCAACACAGGCTACACTGGCTACACTTAAATCTTCCACTTGATGAGAGACTCCAGACTATTCACACGCCTAACCGGCCTAACCTACATCAACAAAGGGGCCAAGTTCTCTGAAACACGGATTCAAAAAAATTGGGAGCTATCCATTTTGCTGGCGGCTAAGGAAAAATCCCGCACGAGAGAAGCTCCGATAGCAGGGCAGAGCATACCTGCAAAAGCATGGCAACTATATAACTGAACTACATCCTGTCCAGAATGCCAAGTGGTTTCGTCGCATCCAGCTGGGCGCCCAAGCACTAGGAATGCACACCTCTTCTCTGGCTGCTGCTTGAGCGCCTCCTGCAGGGCTGGTGGTCTGTGACTCACTACGGCGCGACACTTCTGGTGGTTTCGCACCAAATCGCTTTTGGGGTCAGGTCAGCCTGCAGCTCTGAATCTCAATGAATGCCAAAAAGCACTCTATACTCAAACTACCATCAAATCTCCGTTGGAGCCTCAACACACAAGAATGCTTTCCTCTGCTCAAAAGAGGGCTTCCCCCTCATCCCTTTCCACACCAGGTCAACCACTAAATTGTTTTGGAACCTTAATGGCCAGCTCGGCCACCAAGGTCTTCCCAGAGCCAGTCTCGGCGTAAACGATGAGGTTCTCATCTGCCACGCGTCTGGCGGCCTGAGCGGTTTCTCACCAAACACTCGACACTGTTCGAAGAAACTACTCTGCCGCAAAGCGGCTCATCAGAACGGAAGAGTGACTCAAACCTATGACCTCTAGGCTATTGATGACCAACTGGTTAAACCAGGTCAATCATTGAAGCGCAGAAAGAACCCTCTATGTGAACATTGCACTACTCTCCTGAATTTGAACAGACTGTTTGGGGCAGTGAAAATCATCGACTGGCTCACTATGCCTGGACTTGCCATGGCAGCGGAGTCTTGCCCATGGCTCCAAGGCTCCAAGTGCACTCGCAACCAAGCACTAAAGTCGTCATCGTCTCGCTTTTACTGTAAATGCTCTAACCGTGTTTTCCCTGGTGTACTGGTGTACCTCTGTGAGGGTGTGACAACGAGCCACCATTTGCAATCGTTTATGCGCCATGTTCGATTCAAGCCTGGTTGTCTTTGCTCTTGGCAGCCCCTTTTCAGATTCATTTGAGTCTAGAAAAGCTGAACACGCCAAGAGTTGTGAAAGCGGGAGAGATGGACGCCCGGACTTGTCAAACAGCTCTGCACAAGAATGACATAAAGCGGGTATGACATCAGTCGAGGATTCGTTGATTAGAGGATACATTCTCAGTAGAAATTCAAATCGCTGGCATCTTTGCAATGTACTGGTAAAACGAACAACAGCCAAGAATGCATGGTGATCTTTTCCCAGTGTCTACCATTGGCGTGGTTGCACTTTGGGCCATTGATAGCAGCCAAAGTCTGTGCAGCTGCTGAAAACTTTGATGCACAACACCACTCACATTCATCCAACATTGGGAGAGCAGTGGAGCAATGAAGGCCCTGAGGGTCATGTCTCTAAATACAGAATGCCTGAACTCTGAACCCAGCAGTTACCATCGAATCGGTTGACAGAAGACTTGATGTCGCTCGCCCCATACTTGAGACATCCTGAAACCAACAAAGCTTTAGCTGATGATGCTCCAGGACTGGTCCCCTGGGCATTTCGTATTGTCGGCAAATCCTCGGAGGGCGTGATAGGCGCCTCCATAGTGATCCATCATATCATCGTGGAACTGATGATACTTCTCTGCCTTGGGTTTCAGCAGCAGCTAAACAGCGGTCTGCACCTACAGAAAGAAAATGCATTCAAGGTCTTTGTAGTTGTGTGTTAATTGCACTTAGATGCCATGTTGAAGTCTTTGAGTGTACCATAGCAGCTTTTGGAGAATTGTCCCAGGTGAGTGACTCTGGACCGGGCTGCTTTCGAAACACTGAACACCTCAAAGTCAAACAGTAAACACATAGGAATTCCTCCGAAACATGGTTTGCCTTCTTTCAACTCGGCTTCATGATCTCTCACTTTGTTGCGTTGTTCCTGCTGTGCCGAAAGCGACTATGGAGCTTGCGAAGCTCGTGTGGCTGGCATGTCCTCCAGCTCAGTTGTTGCCAGTTGCCAGTTGCTGGGGTCCACATTTCAAACTGCATCATCTGGAGATGACTTGGTTGACCTGGTGTTAGAGTGCGCTACCCCAAGGGCTCAATTGTGTGGTACTGGTGGCACGAGAGACAAAATCCTTGTGAGCTCCAGCGACCCCTGCCTTTCTAACATGGTCCCATGGGCCCGAAAATGTGGCCGGCCAGGATGGTATTCATCGGCAAAATCTATCAACATCGTGTGGCTGATCGGGTATTTAAAGCTGCAATGCCAAGAATTACGCAAGCCTGCGGTTGCTTCAATGAACCCATCAGCTACACTAAGTGTGCATCAATCTAAATATGTAATATAATATATATATATATGTATATATATATATATGTACCCAGCATTGGTTGTCACACCATCAATTCTGTCGATTTTAATCAAACATCATCTTCCGTCCAAGCCACAACATGAGCAGGGAAGTGATCACTATCATAGACTATCACAGTGTCGCTGCCCAAGGTGTCTCCTTCATTGCCTGCAGCCCGACAATCTGTGACCATGTCGAAATGGTGAAAGGATAAAGGTTACAACTAGCAACATGGGCATTGAAATAGATTGAGCCTGACTCACTAAAAGTGTCTTTGCTTGCACTATCAAGTACGGAACCTTCAGTTTGTTGATCCCGGCTGAGGAGTCGAGAGCTAGACCAATTTATGTCATCCCGCACACAGCGAGGTCACAGCAATCTATCTGTGTAGGTAAACTTATGTACCTGCTAATTCTCCGCGAATGACCATTGCCCAAGAAATCTGGCTGTGAGTTCAAGAAAATGTCAACAATCCACCAATCTGTGGCAGGCCTGTGCCAGGCACCAACTTGGCAGTTGCAGATGAGGCAAGATCCTTCATCAGCGACGAGTGGATTCCACCAGGAAGCCCGACGACCTCAGGTCCAACTCGCTTGTGACTCAGTGACCTCCAAGGCCTTCCAGATTTGCCTTCCAAGGCCTTCAACGTTTCAGTTCTGCATCCAGTCTTTGAGTCTTTCCCCTTTTTTAGATTCCGTTTAAACTCTGCTTTGTTTGTCTTGTGTTTGTTGCTTTTAGTAATGTATGTTTATATGTTTTATGTGTGTTTGTCCTTTGTTCGACCTTTTGCTGTGTTTTTCTTTTGTTCTTTCTTCCTCTCTTTGTTGTTGGGGCAAAGTGCACAAACACTTCACCCAAGGGGCGGAACGATATTCGCCTCCAATATCTTGAACATCTCTCCTGACTCCTTTGCTAGTAGGAACAAGTGCCACGCTAGTAGTAACAGGTGCCTTCCTAGTAGTAACAAGAAGCTTTTAATTTATTCTTAATTTAATTCTAAGAGGCGACTGTTCGACGACTTTCAGACAGATCCAAGCAAAGACTTCGTGTCAAACCGCAGCCCTCACCGACCGGCGTCCTTTGGGGCATATGTCCCAGAAGGTCTGCGCGAAGGTGGCAAAAGCTGAGACGGGCCTTGGACATCGAACACGGGTCTTCCCAAGGACCTGCAGCCTTCGTCGATCGACTGAAACGAGTGGGATCTGGAAACCGAGTGATTCATGTCTCGATCACCACAAATGTGGGTAGCTCACTGAACCTGTCTGGCAATTAATTAGCAGAAGAACAAATGACCAAGGCCAAAACCTACCAAAAGTATCGGGATTTTCTGATCCTTTCCACAGGCAAACTATTCTATCGATGTAAAATTCATAACTTCTGGGCACAACAGCTCCTAGCTGCTAGTAACAAGGGAATCGCTATTGATAACAGGTGCATCGCTACTAGTAACGATTCAGCTACTAGTTAGATGTCAGCTTTCATGTCTCGGAAGTCTCCCAAGTCTCCCGATCCTTCAGCCACGGAGCACGCTCATTGAGACCACTTCGGAGTGCCCGAGTTGCCCATAGTCCGCCTGCACAAGAAAATCTATGTTTTGTATTATTTTGGCCCGCTGCCCCCCGTCTCCCTACTCAATTAAGTAGGCGCCTACCTAATTAAGTAAGGGAGAACTAAGCTACTAGCAACTTAAGCTACTACCTACTGGATGCAGGATAGCTCACGCTTCTTTAAGGAAGCTCCCCCGGCCGCCCTAAAGGCGGGGGGGGAGAGCTTCCTTGAAGAAGCGCTCACACTATTAATTTGGTTCCTAGATTTTCAGGGAAACTTAACCTTACGTTAGAGGCCACCACTCTTAGGTTGGAGGCAATTGCTTCACTGAGCTGTTCAAGCAACTTCTTTGAGTAGGTCCTCGATGTCAAAGAATGTGGGTCCCAACCCAAGGAATAATTACCAACCAACAGTTGCGACAATCGAACAGGAAGTATGATACACAAAAATAAAACAAATATTCTCAAATCATTGGTCTTTTCAAGTGTTTGTTCAGCTCTGGCCCTCGATCCGGAGAACAAGAAACCTGCCTTTCCCAATGCGTTGTGGTAACATACCAATCCTAAGTTCAGGACAAAGCAATGGCCCCCACAGAAAAAGTAAAATGAGCCCTCATCTATGCATCTTCCAAAACCAAACGACATAGCTCTGGCTGGCTGATGAATTCGTCCCTAGTACAAACACAAAAACCATCAAAAACCTTGCCCTTGTCCGTTCGCGGAGAGCAAGAAGCCATTGTCCATGTGAGTCCCACCAGCATATGCAGTCCGCGCGGTGATGTTACCTCAGCGAAACGTGGCCCTCAGCTTCGTGAAATAAAACGTCCAACAAAATGGCCGGCTCTTGAGGAAGAAAGATGTCCACCTAGAAAGTCCCGTTGATTTCAAGTTCAAGCTGCAAGGTCACTGACACCAAAGAATCGGAAGACAACTGACTATGGCAACCCCTCAATTCCATTTATACACGCAGAAAATATACGAGGTTTGATGTCTCCTGCATAATTGAGATCTTCAAACACTCTTGGTGACTGGTGCAACTGGTGCATTCAAACACGACAACTAAAGCCTTGATCAAACTATATCTCTTCCGTGAAAAGCCGAAGAATTGGAAATTCCTGTCTGCTCTTCAGCCGGAGTGGCCATCTTGCCGGCAGAGCTTGGTCATCTCGTCGACCCTTGGAGCGGAGTCAAACACCGATGCTGAATCTTTAGTGACCATAGTGTGACCATAGTGTGACCATAGTGTGACCATAGTGGCCTATCATGGCCTATCCTCCCGAAACCGCTGCGGCTAAGGCGCACGAACTCATGCTGCACATGCCAAAAGCAGCCGCAGCCGAAGTACACTTTGACCTCTGTATCACCACCTGAGTGCGATGCTCAAAGCCTGTACCAAAAATAACTCAAAAAAGGGTACCTTTCGGAAGCTGATGGATCTGATTACTAAAGGTCCGTGGAGTCTTGACTTCCAAAGCCTTCCCTTGGTCACTCCGAAACAAACTGACCTACACGAAGGCTTGGTTATTGCAACGGTTATGGAGGCCCCCCTGATGGGTGAGTTCTGAGCCGCCAAGATTACACCATATCTTGAAGTTGTGTTTATCAAATGCAATTTCTAGAAGTTTGAAATGTTTCATTGTGCTTGCGCTTCAGCTGTCGACCGACCTAAATGATATGAACGTCAATCTTCCATCCCAGAGACTGCGGATGGATGGATCTGGATGTGCACACGCTTGCGGCAGCGCCGCATCGGCGCATCCGCTCAAGAAGAGGGAAGGCAACCTTGGAGAGGCGCTTCTGGGCTTCACCCCACAAAATGGCAATACCGTTCCCAAATCCGTCGGTGAACCACTTAAGCGGCCTAGCATTTGATCTCCAGTAGCGTCTGATACAACGATGAATGTTGAACAATCAGAAAACGCACAAACTCTGCTGTCAATTATACATGAACCAGAAGCCAAGATGCAAGAAAGACAGGTAGTACCTCTGATTCATTGGCATGGCAAAGAGAAGGTTGAAAATTCTAGCATTTGAATTCAACATCATCCCTTCGCCTCTGAGAAAATGCCGGTGATTTGGCAGCTGCTTTAGTATACTTGTTCTGAGTGTTGATTCTGTTTCTTGAGCCACACTCACACAAACTGCAAAGTCCAAGTCTTTAAAATAGCGGCTGACATACCTGGTGTTTACCCGAAATATGATCCGATCCGATCTGAACCACATGAGATTATGTCAGCGACTGACTTTTTGAGAGAACTGATCTAGATCTCAAGAACTTTTCACAACAAATGGAAGTACACATTACACACCCAAATGAATGTTGTTTCAATAGGTAGTAACCTCTACATATGGTCCATTGGTTGATCGACAATGACAACGGTAGGTTCCGGAGACTTGGTCACATTCCGTCAACACAGCTTCAACACACCAGAATGTCAATGCTTCTTTTGTGAGACGCCTGCTCTTGCTTTCGGGATGTTCGCAAGTTGAAAGCTGCACTGCCTACCTAGTTACCTTGAATGAAAGTTAAGCATCTAAAAGAAGAGTCAAATCATCGACATAAATGATGAGTGCAAGGAAACAAATCGTCAGCTCCAGGCTTTTACATATTTTGGGCGACCGGCAGGATTCTGCTCATTGCTCGGTGATCTCAGGGAGCCAGTCGAGTTTGCCCAAAACCTTCTTCCACATTTGCTGGTCTTCCCCAGCGATTGGATCTGAAATCAAGCTTTCCAAAATATCACTTTGCCGTTTCAATAGGCCATTTACATTGTTTTTTTCTCTTCTTGTCCTTTTTGAAATAGTCCGCCACCAACCTTCCAGTCCAAGCAGCGGGAAACGGGCTTTCGATGGCATGTCCCCGAATGAATTGCAAAGCCAGCAGAAAGGCTTCGTCCAAACGTTCAGGCAATGGGCCAGGTAACCCTAACAATGTGGCTTCCAAATGTAGAGATGAAAAAGGTGCTCGCTTCTTGCCATCGTCACATTTCACTGCATGACACTTATTCCAGAATTTGGTCAGAACCACTAGATCTGCCCAGCCCTCAGTACTTGCAATTTTGTGCTGGACCTCCTCCGCGACTGCCGTGGGGTGGTTGTGCAAGACCTCAGAAGTTGAGGAATCCAAAATCCAATGACCTCCCCGGGGATCGGCGATTGCCGGGATGACATCCATTTCAACCTCCAACTTGCCCACCAGGAGCTTCAGAAGCAAGCCGTACTTGCCCGTCTGCATAGTCTCCATCTTGAACTTGGACTTCAAGGCTCCCTGTAGTCTCACCCCAAGGAGCTCTAGACCTGCAATCGTGGCATCTCCATCAAACAAGGCCACCATATCAAGGTCACTGGCCATCTGGCGACCCCAGTCATAACCCGCCCAATCCTCGATAGAAGTAGCTCGGCTTGAGGAGCCTTGAGGCATCACAGAGACGAAATCCTCCAGCTCTGACAAAATGTTGGTGAGGTCTTCCTTCAAACAGGCCAACATCAGAGGCGTTCCCTTTTCTACCTCTTCTTGAACTCCAGGAGGGTGTCTTTGGCACCTGTCCACTGCCTTATCTTGTCGAATCTTGGCCAACAGCTGCAAAAGTAGATTGTTGAAGTTCGACTGCTGCTGTCCAAAGGGAATGCCACTCCCAAGCGGTGCTGGGTTATAATCCACTGACCATCGTTCAAAAGGGGTGTGCCCAATTTCCCGCTCACCTCCAGCACATTGTCGAGTTTCTTTCAGGGTGAAGGCATTCCTCAAGTGTTCTGCACGGTACTGTAGTTCATACAACACTTTCTGCTCTTTGGATTCATCGGTAAAGACCGTGCAGAGTTCCTGGAAAGTTGGGTAGCCCAGAGTCACCGAGCATCACCCCGAAACAAGTGGAAAAAATCCACATCATGGAAAACCGCAAAGCAGTTGCAAAGAAAACCAATATTTTTCTTCAACTCCCACGGCTGCTTTAAGTGGGCTATGGTTTCAGTATGCAAATGGTCATGTATAGCAGCACCACGCAATACAAGTGAATCAATCATCCTCAGGCTGGCAATGAGGGTTTCATAAGGTTAGGGGTGGCCAATAACACCTTGACTACAATTGTTTTTTGGGGGGATCTCTCGATGATATCTTGGTGAAATTTGTGGTCATCAAAATCCAACCTCGGCTTGCTCCAATTTGTCCCAGGCATTCGGCGTTGCCCGACCACTCTCCAACATAACTTCCAAGCCCTCGATCAACGCTTTGGCTCGAAGCAGCCGCGGCCACATGGCGAAGCTACAGAAAGGGTGTCCAGTCGAAGCGCTGTGTAGAAGTAGAAGCCATGAAATATAGATTATAACATATACCTAGGTTGTCCATGGTTTTTGCATACATCACACATATTCACACATGGCATTTTCCCCTATCTGTATATGACCATCCTGGAGCCTGTAAAATTGAACGCGTAAAATCTCTTTGGATGAAACAGACCGGAACCCACGAAACGGAGTGCACACAAGCACGCAACACAAACAACTAGACGTATATAAACAACCCAAAATTGTGTTTGACACTCTCAACTGTACTGACTTGACACTTTTCAGACAGACTCTTGCGGGTGACACTCTTCCAAGACACTTTGTGAAGCACATTTGTGCAACAATTATTGTTAAGCAACGCGCCTTTTTGATCCACTAAGCGCTGCAAGGTTAAGTCCAATGTGTCCCTAAACAAAGGGTTGTCATGTATTTTTTTGACTCGGATATTTTTTGGTGATTGTTTATGTTTTTTCTGGGAGTGCTGCAGAAGCATCAGGAGCAGCAGAAGGGACAGGAAAAGCAGCAGCAAAGAGGGTGTTTTACCCTTGCGTGGGTCACAAAGGGTCTGCAACGGTGGATTGGTTCCTTCCTCGTTTGAATTTTATCCTTAAATGGCTCACAAAAAACCTGCTACCTCAGCATGGTTCCTTCCTCCTCGCTTTGCTGCGTTGGCGCGGCATCTTCCTCCTCCAAATTTCCCCTCAGACTCGAGTGGTCCACAAAAAGTCTGCTGCATTGGAACGCCCCTGCTTCCTCCAAACATCAGTTTCGGGTGGTTCACAACAGGTCTGCTGCATTGGAATGTGCCCTTCCTCCTCTGAACGTCGCCCTGAAGCGGCTCATCTCATAAATGGTCTGCTACCTTGGAGTGGACGCTGCCTCCTCCAACTCCATCTTCGGCTGGCGCACAAAATGGTCCCCTAAATTTGACCGTTACGTGGCTCACAAAAAATATGCAACGTTGGAACCTTCCTGCCTTCTCTGAAAGTTGCCCTCGGGTGGCTCACAAAAGGTTTGCTGCGTTGGACTGGTTCCTTCTTCCTCTATATTTTTCCTCCCCTGAACTTCACCTCTAGTGGTTTGCAAAAGATCTGCTACGATGGAACGGCACCTTCCTCCTCTCAATTTTACCCTGCCTTGAAGGCTGCAATTCCAAGACAAAGCAAACAGAGCAAGTTCAGCTGAGTCTTTTTCACCTTTGAGTGAACAACGGGGTGAATTCGTGCCATCGTTTGGATGGGCTGTACTTGAACAAAGTGCCAAGGGACGGAAGGGAGGTTCGAGCAACTTGGGCCACAAACCAAATCATGGCAAAGTCACGCCCCCCCCCCCCCACCCTCTGGAGCCACATGCAAGTGCATTAAAGACCTCACCCACGGTTGGATGCGTTTCTTGATCCACTAGAAGGCCACAGGATTCCAAGACAAAGCAAACACAGTGAAATCAGTTGTTTTTTACCTTGAATGAACAACGGGGTGAATTCGTGCCATCGTTTGGATGGGTTTCACGACTTGAACAGATTGCCAAGCTCACAGTTTGACATGTGCCTCCTTGGATGGGCTTTGCTGCTCGAACAGAGTGTGAAGCTCACAGCTTGACACAGCTTGACACTTTGTTCAAATCGTAAAGCCCATCCAAACGATGGCGCGAATTCACCCCATTGTTCATTGCTCACTCAAAGTGAAAAAGACTTGGCTGAGCCACTCTGTTTGCTTTGTCTTGGAGTTGTGTGCATTCTAGTGGATTAAGACATGCAACCGTGGGTGAGAGGTCTTTAATGCACCTGTAATGGTTACATATGTGAAAACACGGTCGCGCAAGCTTCCCTTTTCGATCCTGCTCCTTGAGCCAAAGTCACAGTCTGTTCAGGCTGTCTTCAAGTTCTCTCATCTCTTCTCTGAAGAGGTTCGACTGTCCACAGTCTTCCAAAACAGGTCTCAGTACCAAAAAAAGGCAAAGAACTATCTCCAAACACTCTCAAGCCATCTCCAACTACACACAGCTCTCACAGGTGCTTCTCTAAAGGTGCTCCAGCCACTTCCAGTCACATTCCACCTTCTCCTGCAAGAAGGCAAAAGAACACATCGAGGACAAAGATCCCCATTCAGCCCCAACCCCAAGTGCTGGAAAACGAAAATTATTGCTAGAAACAGGTGCTAGGGTGATCCACACCCTGAACAAACGTGCCACCAGCTGTATTTCACACCCCTTCTTGGGTCACCTGGCGCCGTCTCCTCTCTCTTTATCTCTTCTTCTCCTGAAAAACCTACTACCTTAAGTAAGTAGATTACAAACGTCCTAAACACAAAGCGAAAGCACGCGCAACAGCTCACAAGCAACGCAAAAGCACTCGCACCACTTTTACGCGCACTCTCTGGGCCTTGAGCCAAAGTAAAGTACAAAAGGCTATGAGGTATTCCTGCGTACAAGCTATTCCCATGCGAGACACTGAAAGTGTCGAGCTTAAACGCACTCAAAAATGCACAAAACTGTTCAAGAAACATTCACACTACAAAAGTTACAAAGACTTCTGTTCACAAAGCTTCTATACATTGTACATTCCGCGAGCTATGCTCTCCAAGGCTCTCAAAACACTTCGAAACACAAAGTTCCATCAAGGAACGCTTGCTCAAGCACTCGAAATGCAAAACTATGCACTCCAAAAGTAAAAACCTCACAGCTACTACATTTGCCTGCACCTCGCTACCTCACACACTTTCACACCCCCTTTCGAGGTGAGGCTCATTCACTCTGAGCTAGTGGTGACTTGTGTAGATGCGGTGGCTCCAGACCTCTCAGCTTTCCAGTACTCTTTGGTAATGATCTTTTCGCATGCCTTGCACAGTTCAAGGCGACTAAGCCCCTTCCCTCGGGTGTAGCGGCATAGTGGGCTGCAATGAACTACAGTTCCCGTGCGGCAGATCTCTAACCAATTCTTCCAGAAAGTTGGTGGAATCAATACTTCCACTGGGCCCAAAGTAGTCTCCACTCCTCGAGATACACATCTCTATGGCTATGACGCTCCTTCCCATTGATCGGCACATAGACACCACGAGACTTGCAGAAAGCTTGACTCAGCAAAAATCCAGTAAGGATCCCCATGCTGAAAATCACTGCCAAAAGAATTTCGAATTCACGACCATCCAGCATACGCTTACTCAATGCTGCTTCCATGGCCATCATGCGTCCCAAATGGCTGCGGATGCACAGCAGTCAGCTAGCACATTTTGATCGAAGCTGTGCAAGATCCATCTCAGACCCTTCTCAAATCCGGCAGCATCCGCTCACATGCATGTCCAGCCTCATTCCTTCGAAACCGAACGAAGCATCGAGCGAACACACGGGCGCGTTCCGTCTCTGTCCAATTGACATTGTTGAAAGCGTGCTCGACAATGCACTGACACTCAAACCTTTCGACGAACCCATTTGCAACCTCCTTTCTGTTTGACACAAACCTGAACCTCTTTCCAACTGGTTGTTGACCTTTGGTGAACATCATTGAACATCCGTTCACGACACCTTCAAACTCCAATCGCTGGTTCGACAAGACCTTTCTCAAGACTTCTGACTTCCAGCGCTGATTGTTTGCTGGAAGCTTTGAGGATTTTGGACACCTGACCATGAACCTCTTGAACCTTCTTCAAAGGACAACCGACAGAGTTGGCCAGTTCCTCAAAGATCTCAACATGTCTCTGCCTTGACTGTTGGTGAACATTCAAAATCCGAGTTCCTGCAGTGGTAAAGAAACATGAACATGGATCGACTCAGTTCCACAGATCGATGGTGGTCGTTTGGTTGGTCCTGCGGCCCTAACAGAAATGCAAAGAATCAGTACACTATTGAAAGAATCTCTGCGTGCCTCTTCCTGCAGACAATCATGACATCCAATGCAAGAAACACCACCTCCAAACAAGCCTGTCTCAGACATGAATCTTGACTGCAACAAAGTTCCCAAAAAACATCTTTACCTTGAGAACATGAGATTGCTGAAGACCTTGACGGGACTGTCGAAGACTGCAACTGGCCTGGCTCCCGACAGCGTCGTTCATCGACGAAGAGCAGGAATTGTGCGAGCAACCGATCCCTTGACATTCTTCAAAGCCATCACTTCGATTGCCTCAACGTCTTGTAGGCGCCTGTGTTCGTTGTCCGCTCTCGACAACTCGAAGATCACGCTCTGCAACTGTCCATATGAAAAGTGTGGTGGCACGCCTGTACAATGTTCACCCAGTACCTCTTTGTAGGGAACTTTTCGTTTTTTCTGTCCTTACAGTTTGGAGCTGAGTGGAGATCTTCTGTGTTCTCTTTGACCTCCTTGGCAGAACTGAATGGAATGTGACCAAAATTGGTTGCTTTCTGTTCTTTGAACATGTTATGGACGACTGTGACCAGTCAGACCTCTTCAGAAGAAGAGAAGATGGACATTGACACGGTTTGACTGTGATGTTTGGCTCAAGAGTCCGAATGCAACCTAACAGCCAACTGGCTCTCCACTGGCTTGGACACAGCAATCCTCAGAACAGGGTGGCACCTTCTCTCTCCTACCCGGCAAGGTACAGCCACGGAGAGCGGGCTGCTCCGAACCTATTTCGTGGATATTCATCTGAACTGCAACAAACTGACAAGCCGGGCCTATGAAGAAGTTTATCGGCCAGGAGCGTGGGCCCAAACAGTTCAATGGCTCACTGGAGATCCCACTTACATCAAAAAACTGGACGCATTCAGTTAAAAAGGAAAACGCGTGCTGCCCAAGGACACACACAAGCTAAGCGGACTGCATCTCCAGAGAAAGAAAGCAGCTCCTCCTCCTCTTCGTCATATTCTACCTCCCGCAGCAGTCAAAGCCAAAACCAGACCGTGGCGCTCGCAGCACCGCGAAGTAAAAAGAAAGGAGGAATTCCCAACATTGCATAGCTGCCCTAAGCAATGATCGGAAACAAGTCAACAAGGCGAAGACCTCAGTCTTTGTC